TGACTGGATGGTCTTATCTTGGGCTGGGCTTATTTATTTTTATTATTTTTGGTTTTTATCTTTATCTTTATCTTTTCTAGCCATTATTATATTTTTCATAATTAAAGCAAATTTGCTTCCCAGAATATTTGAAATATGTAGTTTGATTTATATTTCAAAAACACACATATGTATATATATAATTACATATATATACAACATAGGGCATAACTATATACAACTCCATTAATCCATTTTATAAACAAAAGAGAATATGCAGCCTTAATGCATATGTACACAAAGATTACACAACCATATAAACAAAGAGATCAGACATCTCATAATCAGATTTAATTTCTACCTATTCACATTAATTAAGCCTTAACGGGTTCCGTGGTAAGCCCGTACCCGAACGGAAACAACGGGTCATAATGCGGGTCGCCAAAGTTCATCGGCAGTTGATCGACATTCTTGAACCACGTAATAGGAAGTTTCCCCGTAAATCCATAGTCACCAAACAGCACATCGGCAACACCCTGCCCTTCTGATCCAGGCAACCAAGCCGCGACGACCGCATCCATACCCGCAAGATACGGTTCGATCACGACGGGTCGGCCCGTTACAAGAACCACCACGCATTTCACCGACGAGCACACGTTCTTGATGATACTGTAACCCGGGTCGGGTAGGGTCAGGTTAAGGTTGTCCCCGTACGTTTCCGAGTAAGGCACCTCACCCACCACAACGACCGCGTACTCGAACTTGCCGGACTTCACGAACTCCGCATCCGGCTCCTGCCTGAACGAGACTTCAGTTTCCGGGTCGACTGTGTTCCTCACGGCAGACAAGATGGTGGTGCCAGCTGTTGTGTTGCCGCTCTTTCCGTGCCATTCGATCGTCCAACCGCCACACTGGTTGCCGATGTCGTCGGCGTGGGTCCCAGCGACGAGAATCTTCGATGCTTTCTTGGGAAGTGGGAGCAATGGCTTGTCACCAGCTTTACCATTTTTAAGAAGCACGAGTGATTTTCTTACAGCTTCTCTTGCCACTTCTCTGTTTTCCTGTAAGATTTTTAATGATGTTTTGTTAAGAGACGTACTTATATTATACTATATAAATAGCTGATTAATCATTATTAGTATTATTATTAATTAATTAATTACCTGACTGCCTAAGTGCTTGGCCATGCTGTAATCAGCCATTGGATTTTCAAATAGACCCATTGTGAATTTAACTCTCAGAATCCTCTTGACAGCATCGTCAATTCGGCTCATCGAAACGAAGTTATTATTCACCAAGTATGTTAGTCCATCAATGAACTCTGTGTAGTTGTAAGGAACCATCACCTGCATTAATTAATATTGTATTAACTAAATTAACTACACATCATCGTATCGAAATGTGAAAAAGACGTAATCACATAAAACCAAACCACATCAATTCCAGCATTAATCGAAGCTTCAATCGAGTATGTGTAGTTTGCATGAGGCGGGGTGGTCATTTTGTCAATCGCCTGCCAATCCGTGATCACGAATCCCTGTTTTAAGTATTAATTAATCCGTATCAGTCAATTTTTAGATATTAAAATATCATTAAAGTTAAGAGGGTAATTAAAATAGAAATTTTACTCTGAAGCCCTGTGCTTTCTTGAGAAATCCAGTGATTAAATCGCGATTAGCGTGCATTTTAACTCCGTTCCAGCTCGAGTAAGAAGCCATGACCGTTGATACACCCTTGATGACCGAATCATAATAGGCTGGCATATGAATACCGAGCAATTCATGCCAGGTGGCGACTGTGTTGTTCTCGTTTATGCCTTTCACCGTTCCACCATCACCAACGTAATGTTTAGCACATGCCATCACCTTATCTCTAAAACACAAGCATGTAATTACTTGTAATTAATTAGACTACGAAATTGGAATGTATATTTATATACAATATAAGAAAACTTACGGGCCTCCAACATACGGAACACCCTTCGGAAAACCAGCAGGTACATCGCCTTGTAATCCAGGAATAATCTCGGTCATCGATCGAACTATCTTTGGATCTTCGCTATAGCTTTCGTAACACCTTCCCCATCTTGGATCTCTGCATACCTATTAATGCAAAAAACAAATTTTCTTACAAAAATTAAAAAAAGGGAAAAAGTATATTCCATCCAGTGATTAATAAATCGTAATTAATTACCGCAATGACAGGTGCAAAAGCATACTGAATGCCGGTAGCCCTGACTTCGAGTGCAGTTGCAGCTCCGATTCTCTTCACCAGTTCAGGATCTCTGTTAAAAAGGGAGTTACATTCATTCGTCGAATTTATTAAATCGAATTTCGTTAATAAATAAACAAGAAATGCATGAATAATGACTTGCCTTGTAGCACCAAGGCCAACATTGTGGGGGAAAATTGTAGCCTTATAAACATTATTGTTACCATGAACTGCATCGATTCCGTAAATCATCGGTATACCGAGTCGCTGCATCAATGCATTCTTTTGGAAATGATTCACCATATCAATCCATGTTTCGGCCGATGCGTGTACAGCAGGAACACTCCCTCCACCACTCAATATACTGCCTGCATTATACATATACATACACATATATATACATTTTGAAATTACAGAAATGAAATTGAAAAAAATAAAATTAATTGAAGAATACCAATGGAGTATTTCTGGAGGACGTGATCGGCAGCAACGGTGCGTTCGATTTGGGTCATTTGGCCGATTTTCTCCTCTAAGGTCATCCTTTTCATAAGGTCTCTGATTCTCTTATTTATCGGCTGTTTTGGATCTTTGTATTTCATGTATTCTTCTGCATTTGCTATGGCTGTACAGTAGCACAATGCTACAATTCCACCTATCAACAATAATATTGTACCTCTCGCCATTTTTCTCTGCAACATTGACCTCAAACTGCCAACCAAAAACAAAAAAACAAATCACAAAATTGCAAAAAATTAGTTTTGGAAAAATACAGTTACGCCATTGTATTGTTCTTACCTCGTGATTCGTGCGCTGAATCAGAAAGAAAAAAAAGGAAGAAAAAAATTGCAGTAATTCGACTCTCTAGCAACTCCTATCCGGCCGGATATTTACACCTATTGGGGAGACTCACTAGAGAGACAAAATAGAGAGAGAGAGACACACACACCAGAAGGTGTTCCTTTATTTCTAGATGCTGGGAATGAAATGGTGTAAAAGTGCTGGTATTTATAGTTGGATTTTTTTTTTAATAAAATTAATAATTTTCTTATTTTAGAATTTATTTTTTATTTGTGGATAAACTAATTAAGTAATAACACTCCCACTACACCATTAATTTTCGAAAATTTATAGCCTACTTACGCGGCGAAAAGCATGCTATTCATTCCATTCCATTACTGGAGTGGGGAATGTGGATTTTCTTTTTCTAATTTACATTTTCTTTTTTTTCTTTTTTATTTAATATTAATTCTAATATACACGTGTAAAACATTTCTGAGAAGCTCCAATTCAGACAAGAGAAAATTATTTCAAATAAAACTCCATATTATAATTTATAAATCAAGAGAAATAAGTGTTTTTTTTTTCACACACAGCTCATAAAATCACAACAAAAAATCACACTACATTCTTACATCGAATATCTAGTTTCCCTTAACAGGGTTTGTTGTAAGTCCGTACCCAAACGGGTACAAAGGATCGTAAACTCGATCTCCAACGTTCATCGGAAGTTGATCAACGGTCTTGAACCACGTATGAGGCAGCTTCCCACTGAACCCATAATCACCAAACAGAACATCAGCAACACCTTGCCCTTCAGAACCAGGTAGCCAAGCAGCAACAAGTGCATCAATCTGATCAACCAATGGCTGAATGACAACTGGACGACCCGTAACTAGAACAACAACGCATTTCACCGAGCCACAAACGTTTTTAATAATAGTGGGTGCCGGCTCAGCTAGTGTCAGGTTAAGGCTGTCTCCCATTGTCTCCGAATAAGGCAGTTCTCCGACAACAACTATCGCGTACGAGAAGTTGTTCTGCTTTACATATCCGGAATCTGGATTCTGGCTAAAGACCACCTCTGTTTTCGGGTCAACTGTGTTTCTTACGGCGGTCAAGATTGTGGTGCCAGCCGTAGTATTCCCGCTCTTTCCTTGCCATTCGATTGTCCAGCCGCCACATTGGTTGCCAATGTCATCGGCGTGGGTCCCGGCAACTAGAATCTTCGGTGCTGTTTTAGAGAGTGGTAACAATGGCTTGTCTGCAGATTTTCCGTTTTTTAGCAGCACAAGTGATTTCCTTACTGCTTCCCTTGCAAGCTCTCTGTGTTCCTGTTAAAATCGAATTTTTAGGCCTCGTTTGGGAATTGATTATTTTTTTGTTTTGGGATTTGTGATTATGCAATATTGTACACTTACTTGAGTACCGAGGTACTTGGCCATGCTGTAATCAGCTAAGGGGTTTTCAAATACACCCATTGTGAATTTAACTCTTAAAATCCTCCTCACAGCATCGTTGATTCGGGTCATGGGAACAAAATTATTTTTCACTAAGAAGGTCAGACCGTCGATGAATTCTGTATAATTGTACGGGACCATAACCTGCAATTAAGTGGTAATTTTATTTGAGTTTTGGAAAAGAGAAAAAAAATTCATTCAAGCAATTATATATATGTATATATAGAAATTAGTTATATCCCAACCATGTCAATTCCAGCATTAACTGCAGCTAAAATTGAGTATGTATAATTCGCGTGAGGTGGAGAAGTGATTCTGTCGATTCCCTGCCAATCCGAGATGACAAAACCCTGAAGAATTCAATAACAAAGAAAACGAGAAAAAAAAAACTTGTGTTAGTTTACAGATAATGTTTATTTTCGTGAGCATGAATATTAAAGTGAGAGTCTTAAAAGGGAAATTAAATTACTCTGAAACGCTGTGTTTTTTTGAGAAAACCAGTGATGAGATCACGATTAGCATGCATCTTTTTCCCGTTAAAGCTCGAGTACGAGATCATGATTGTTGATACACCCTTGATGATCGAATCATAATAAGCCGGCATATGAATGCTAAGCAATTCATGCATGCTTGCTACTGTGTTATTCTCGTTTATTCCATGTGTTGTTCCGCCATCACCAACATAGTGTTTGGCACTAACAATAACCTTGTGCCTGAATAGACAAACACAAAAAAACAAAAACACCCAAATTAATGATTTCACTTGTGTATACATCCCTTCGGTATGGCTGGTAAAAAACGTAAATTACCTAATGAATTTTAACTTATGTCGATTGAAAAAAAATAAAACACGGACGGATTCTTTGACAATAACATCGAACTCAAGAGATGTTTGGTTCCTTAATTTGGATTTATCTGCTCTTCTGTTTTGTCACTGTCTTCACAGTTTAGGTGGAATTATGGTCCATGCCACCAGTAATTAACCATTGACAAAATGACGAAAAGTTACTCTCTCATAGTAACCTCCACAAAGGAATTCTATTAAGAATTGTTCGTTGCGTATTAAACCAAACTACTGTTTCGTCAAAAATATCAACGTTTGACTAACTTGTGGACGCTTAAAGTGATGGAGAATTTGCTGATATACTTTTCATGATGCACGAATTTGATTGTGACTAGCATATGCAGAACAAGCCATAAATCGAAAAATTTAGTTGACTGATTTCGACCAGACAATTTTCAATAGAAAAATTCGAAAAAAGAAAAAGTGAAGATTGAGAAACTTACTGCCCGCCAAGATAGGGAACACCCTTTCGAGAATTAGCAGGTACATCTCCTTGTAATCCAGAGATAATCTCCGTCATTGATCGAACTACCATTGGATCTTCACTGTAGCTTTCGTAGCACCTTCCCCATCTTGGATCTCTACATACCTGTTAATGCAAATAAAAAAAATCTGGTCAAAAACATTGTATTGTATTTTTCTTCGATTAGCAAGTTACGTTTATCGGATCATTCTGCTTACCGCAATGCACGGTGCAAAGGCATAATTAATTCCTGTAGCTCTGACTTCAAGAGCAGTTGCAGCTCCTATTTTCTTGACCAATTGAGGGTCTCTGTTTCAAACGAAAAACTTTTCCTAGTAAGCAAACAATCGGTGCATCTAACGGGCAAAATGAAACAAATAACTCCAATAAAAAAATACTTGCCTAGTAGCTCCTAAACCAATGTTATGAGGAAAAATTGTAGCCTTATAGACATTATTATTTCCATGAACTGCATCAATCCCATATATCGTAGGTATACCAAGACGAGTCGATAAAGAGCCCTTTTGGAAATCGTTCACCATATCGATCCACTTCTCGGGAGATGCCTGTGGGGCCGGTACACTGCCTCCACCACTCAACACACTGCCTGTGCTTTCAAAACAAAAGGCTTTAGGCAACAAGGTAAATGTGTAATTAAATTTTTTTTTTTGAAAAAATTCATTGTAGGAATTAATCATCGATACGCACCTATGAAATACTTCTTCACCACTTCAGCCGACGCTACGGATCGTTCAATTTGAGTCATTTGGCCTATCTTCTCCTCCAATGTCATCTTGCCCATTAAATCCTTAATTCTCTTGTTTAATGGCTGTTTTGGATCTTTGTAAATCGTATAATCAGCATCAGCTATACAGAATAAATATAGAACCCCAAACAGGAACAGAGGAGCTTTCCCCATTTTTTTGGCTGCAAAACGAAACCTGAAAAAATCGAAGCCCCAATTTCAACGATGTGAATTAATCATTTATAATCAGATACATACAGCTCCCTTCATTCGATTCGATTTCAATTTGGCATTGAAATCACACGAAAACAGAGGATTTGAGTTCAGTCATGTTGACATGAACAGATGAACTGAACCACTCATGCAAGCATAAAAATAACAACATAACTTCAATTTTGAAGAATCTCTGTGATTAATAAAAAAAATTAAAAGGAAAGTAAACAACAACTTTTTTTTCACAACGATGGAAAAAATGGATCAAATTTTGAGATAAAAAATCAAATTAATGAAACAACAGCATCCAGTTATGGAATTCAGTGCATTATCATATGCGGCGATGCTGCTGTAAACGGGAAACAACTTACAGTTATCAGCACAGATCAACACCTCAGCCCACTACTGTTTCTGCTTCTAGAGAGAGAGAGAGAGAGAGAGAGAGAGAGAGAGAGAGATGAAAAGGTTCTGCTGGAGAGAAATTAAATGGGATGGGATAGAGGCGGAATTTATAGAGAAGTTTTTCTTCATTTTTTTGGAAATTGAATAATAGTACGTCTTTTATGGCAATAAATAATAAATAAATAATAAATTATGGATAAGTACGTAGACTGTCCGTAATACAGTCAATTAGTCCACCTACATAGTATTAAAGATTATTTAGGGCTAAACTTAAATTTGAATAAATTATTGGGGCAATTCAAAATTAGCTGTATCTATAGTCTATGTATAATATACACACATCTTTACAATTCAATTTTTGTATGATTATGTTGGTGACTGTAAGTAAACTTTGAGATAATTGATTATTTTTACAATTGTTTTATTATTATGAAAAAAAAATGACTTTAAACGGCTAATTTATAAGTTATCGTATTTGCAAACAAACTTTAATTTTAAACACGTATTTTCAGATCAAATTGCAAATATTCATTTTAATAGATAGATATATAAATACAAACAACAAGTAAATCCATAGATATAATCGTTCATGTGACTAATTTTATGTTAAAAAAAATGCGATCGTTCGTGTAAATAATAACACTTCAATTTTTATACCTTGGAAGCGATTTTACCGTGGAGATGAAAGTTGTCAGTTTATCAAAAGTGATTGAGAAGTCGGAAATATATAGTGGATTGTTGCATTATAATAGCACTAATGTTTTCTTCATGGATTTTCAATGGTTGCAATAATTTATAATATTTATCATAAATCCTCACCTAATTAATGGAGTTTTTTCAATCTCCTTGTCAAAATTCGTATAATTCATAATTTGGTCAAAATTAACTTAATTTCAATATCGAATGAATTATTGCATTTTGACATGAAATGATTTATGGATTTTTCTGAATAATTTTAATAATTTTGTTTAATATTTAGTTAGTTTAATAATTTTCCAGATGAATCAAATATTGGTTTAATCGTTAATTGTCCATATAAAACAAAAGTAGATAAATATTGTAAGAGAATGAAAGTCCAAGGACTGTTATATAATTTGATGATTTTCATATTATTATTATGTAATGATTACGTTACCTGAAAAAGTAGTATAGCACTAGGAACGTTCAATATTGCGTTACAGAAATGGATTTTAAAATTTGAATATTATATTCTATATGCCAACGTCTATAGAATATATTGAATTTTGCGTACGATGTCTTTTAAAGATTGTACCGTTAGCTATTGGTCAACTCATGTTTTTCTTTTATCTTTCAACTTTTATTATGTTCATAAATACTTTTATTAATTAATTAATACACTTCATAAATACATTAATCATAGTATCACACTATCACTACACAAATGATTTCCCTTGTGTATGTATCCGTTTCATTTTAATTATTAATTAATTAATACTATGCTTTCACTCACCAAGTTACAATTACAGCCCTTGTTAAAAAAGGGCAAATTGCAGATCACCCCCTAAAAATGTCTATTTTTTGCACTTTATCCCCTCATAATTTTAAAAAGTGAATGTCCCCCTTTAAAATGTTATTCTTGTTGCACATTGCCCCGATAGCAAAATTTCGATGGATTATTCATCGGCATTTGAGTATTTTTGTACACATTGCCCCTTTATATGTTATTTTTGTTGCACATTATCCATTAAAAACATTATCTTTTTGCAAATTGTCCCTTTAAAATATTATTTTTGTTGCACAATGCCAACCAAAAATTGGCTTCTTGGACAAAGTGCAACCAAAATAATATTTTGAAGGGGGATTATCCAATTTTTAAATTTTTAGGAGGGAAAGTGCGAAAATGAGAAATTTGTAGGGGGTAAAGTTCGTTTCGTCCGAAAAAAATGTTCAATTCAACAAAATTAAATTTGGGAGAGACATGACTTAATTAGGTATAAGTAATTACTAATAATTGGTGGCCAACCCGGATTAGGAAAACAATTTTAAGATGATGAATATGAGTAGTGATTTATTCTAATCACACAGTAACAGCTAATCTTAATAATCCTGTGCTAATCCCACCTGGTTATATTAGGGTTGAAAACCTAGCAAATTTGCACACACACACAAGAAGAAATTAAAATGTTCTAAAAACAGGGGATTAAATATCATAAATCCTTAAAAAAAAAAAAAAGACCCAAAAATAGGAAAAAAATAATGACATTTTACAAACAGATGCATATACTACAAATGTAATCATATATGTATATTATATATATGGTTTAATTTCTAGGTTAGGGTTATGCGATGATCAATTCTCAAATAATATATATTCACCTGTTTCTCTGTACGTCGACAATCCAGAAATTAAAAGTACCTGGACAATAAGTTATGGAAGTATAATGCTGGACTTAGTTTTCTTGTTTCATGGTATATATATATATATATATATATATATATATATATATTTGGGGTAATAGAAATGAAGGGGTGAGGAATGAAGCCTGGTCCGAGATCATTAGTAGTTAATTTGCATTAATTTTACATGCATGGAATTAAGAAACTAATGGATCTTGGAACAGCCTCCATTCCAAACACCTCCTTTTCTTTCTCTCTCTATCTCTAGATCTCTCTCTCTAGATATGATGATTGAGCAATCAAATTAGGTAAAGTGTAAAGAAGCAGTAGTAGTAGTAGAACTAGGGGTGTAAACGAGCCGAGCCGACTCGTGAGCTCGAAGAGCCGGCTCGTAAAAAGCTCGAACTCGAACTCGAGATTTTCGAGCTCGAGCTCGAGCTTTCTGATGAGCCGAGCTCGAGCCGGTTTTCAGTTGTTCATGAGCTCGCGAGCCGGCTCGCGAGCCGGATTTATTATTATTTTTTTTATTTTTTATATGTTATTTTTATTTAAATAATGTATAATAATGTAAAATATTATAGAAATAAATACAAATATTAAAAATATATATAATTACAATTTAGTTTTTATTTTTTATTTTTTTAAATAATTTTTAATAATAAAATAATAATTAAAAAAATATTTTAAAAAAAAAAAAAAAAAAAAAGACAATGGGCTCGAGCTCGAGCTCGAGCTCGAGCTCGACACAACTGACACGAGCTCGAGCTCGAGCCAAAAAAAGAGGAGCTCGCGAGCTCGAGCTCGAGCTCGAGCTCGACAAAATATACTCGAGCTCGAGCTCGAGCCAGCCAAAAGAGGCAAGCTCGGCTCGAGCTCGGCTCGTTTACAGCCCTAAGTAGAACACAGGTAGGTATTTAAAGAGTAGCTGCAGCACATCGAACAAAAGACATGTAGTAGTGGGATATCTGAGTGTTGAAGGAAAGAATACATTAAACAGAGCTTTTTCATGTAGAGAAGAAGAAGCACATGATGGACAGGTCATTTTATGCCATTAAATAATCAAAAGCTGGTAATAAGTTTTTGGAGTCTTCATCTCTGTCTTATTCTTAATCTACTTTATTATATCGGCTTTTTTCGATACAACCACATATATATATCTCTGCACTGAAAATTACGCGACCAAGATACGGAATCTCCTGTCTTCCCTTTCTTTTATTTCACCTCCTATTATATATATATATATATATATATATATATATATATATTTACGTACACGAAGAAAAGTGAAGGAATATATATACATTGGGTTAATTACATGCTCCTCCAACATTTTTCTTGTTTCTATCTTGCTGTCCTAATCACACACACACACACACACACACACACACACACACACACACACACACACACACACACACACACACACACAGTGCCATTAACATATATACCTAATGGATCTTTCTAGAAGGCTTGTCTAGTAAGGGTTTTTTTTAGCCTTTTAGTGTTTTATTCTTTTATTGGGCTTTATTAGGGTAGACCTATCAGCTATAATATTTTCTTGGCAAATGATATAAACGAAATTGATATCGAACCTATTGTCTCGTAGATTATAGATTTTGCAATGTAATTAAATTATATATATGTATCTATAATCTATTCTCTTCATTGAGCATGTATGCATTGGGTGGTCATATAACATGATAAGTAGCAACGTCTATGGCAGAAGTAAACTCAATGGACATAGTAATTAGCACGTAATTAGCACACAATTAATCGTAACTAGTCCTTAATCAGATATTCCGAAGGTTATGTGAATAATTTATTAGTGCTTTTTTTTTTCTTGAACACAAACAGGGGAATGTCGTTTGCCCTAACATTAGGGTGTCGATTCTCGACCCGTATATGAGAAAATTCAACGTATTAATTGTGATTAAGGTGGTTTAGTTACAAAAATAATTGTCAATTTGTTATGCACAAAAGGTAAGAAATACCAAAATCCACATGCTAAGCAACACTAACCCCATACAAACAGAAAGAATGTGATTCTCTTGAACAAAGAGGAAAACCAAAAGTAACCCGTTACGACATTCTACAATCTATTATGTATCTATTGATTATATTATATATATATGCTAAGATATATAAATGAACAACTCAAGTTAAACATTTATCAATAATTCCAACAACAGAAGAGATCAAAAAACAACATCAACAAAGAAACCTACTATGGAGGGAAAAAAAGCTGACCAGTACGAGGAATTCGAACCGCTGTGCAAATGGCAACGCAACGAAGATCGCGAAATTCTCGAAATCCATCTCCAAGGTATTATTCATTTCTCTGTTCAGAACAAATACAGTTTAAATACAGAATTTATAATAATCGACAAAGATAATATTTTTAATCAATAAAATATGATTTTTTTATTTTTTTAATTTTACAAGAATTCAAAAAGGAACAGCTGAAAGTGCAAATCAGCAATTATGGAGTGCTGAAGATTTCTGGAGAACGGCAATTGGAAGCATCAAAGAGGACCAAATTCTACAAAGAAATCCCACTCCCAAGCTATAAATACGATACCTCTGCGATCAATGCCAAGTTTCTTAATGGCTGCCTCTACATCACTATCCCCAAAATGAAGAACTTTGCCCCTGAAAAACCTGAATCGTCTAAAATTGACCAAACCCTAAAACCAGAGTCCGCCAGTAATCAATCCGCCGGCGATGTACCACCATGTTCCGAGGAGCGAGGAAATGCGGCTTCGACGGAGTGTGAGATGCGATTTCGGGAACGGCGGCCGTCGGGGTTGAGGCTGGCTAAGGTGGCGGTGAGCCTGGCGGCGACGGCAGCCGCCGTGGCGGTGCTCGTTGCTTATGTTGTGTATATGTATAAGTCCACCGTGGACGAGTTTGATGACTCAATATGTTGACTGATTCCCTTGCTTTGAATTATTGAATATTGATGATCGATTTAATTAAGCAAAATGATGTACATTATATTCTACGTTGTAAATTTCCATTATTATCATATTTCACACAATACTAATAAATATATATGTAAATTATATTTTATTTAGCAAAAAAAAAAAAAAAAAAATAATAATAATAATAATAATAAATGCAAACCATCCGCAATATAAAGGTGCAATTTTTTCCCAGAAGGGATAAAGATTCAATTTTTAAAATTTAGACTGATTCTTGAAAATTGTATATTGTGATTGAGCTAGTAAGGAAGAAAGAATAATTTACCTCGACAATAACGTTTCAGTTCTGGGTGCAGAATCGACTGTGTGTGTGTGTGTGTGTGTGTGTGAGAGAGAGAGAGAGAGAGAGAGAGAGAGAGAGAAGAGAGAGAGAGAGAGAGCACCGCTCAATGCCGCCTAAATCCGCCTCGACCACTCGGCCCCAGCGCCGGTCTGATCAAACAGCTGGTCGGAGACCCATTCCGGGACCTAATTCAGCTGCCCCCAGTAATTCCCGTCCTCCTTCCTCTACAAGCGCCTTGACGACCGGCGTCATTCGACCGCCGTCCGCCGCCATTTCCACCTCCAACGAAGCCTTTCAAGAAACCAGATCCTTAATTACATCTAATACCGAAAAAGCCCTTCAAGAACCCCTCCATGCCAAAACTCCTGCTTCCCGACCTCCTCAACCCCGAAATTCTGGAAAAACCCTAGCTTCTAATTCTGGATTTTCAAAGTCTGATATGGGTAGCTTTGGTGGCAACAAAAACAAAGAATCGGGAAAATCATTTGATCCCGTACAACCTGATACACTCATTAGCGTCCAAGCTGTAACTAATGGAGATGGAAAGGAAAATGCCGTTGGTTCATCTTCTCTACCACCGCACGTGCCGGATGATGGTTCTGTTAAACCCGTGGAGCCCGAGAGTGTGGCGAGCGGAGCGGCACTCCCTGGAAAGGGGAAGAGGACAATAGTGAGGAAGACAGTTAGAATTGTGAAGAAGATTGTAAAGAGGAGAGTGCCTAAGAAGAGGGCTTTGATGGATGGTTCGGAGAATCAAGAATCGGTGGCGAAAGACGAAAACCGTGTGGATTCGAGTGAGGTAACACAGAATTCAAATCTTGCAAATGATGTTATTGAAAAATCTAATTTAGTGGATGACGTAATCGATACAAATCGTTCCGCTGATGAGGGAAAGGAATTGTTGGCCGGAGTGGATGATGTAGCAAAAAAATTGCATCTTTCGACTGATGTTATTGAAAAATCTAATGTTGTGGAAGGGGTGAACGAGGAAAGTAGCATTATTGATGAGGCCATGCAAAAGTCGGAACGTGTTAATAATGCAAGTATTTCGGAACCATTTATTGGCGAAGAAGTTAACGGTACACGTGGCATTTATTGCATGGAGACAGAACCATCAAAACTCGATTTCGGTGCACGTGTTCCCGAACAAGTGGTGCTAGCTAATGATCAAAGGGAATGTATGAATAGTAACGATGTTATAACTGAAGTCGATAGTAATGACTTGAATGTTTGTGTTCATGATCCAGTGGAACTTGAAAATGTTAACTCTGCAACTAGACCTAACATGGAGATTAACGAGATGACGAACACTGCGACAGAGCATCATTTAAGTGATTCTTTTACGGAAAACGAGAACTTGGATATTGTCAATAAAGTGGATGTGGGTCCCGTGGGAGAAAAAAGTGTAGTTTCTGACGGGGAAAAATCTGAAAGTATTAGGTTGAATGAGGGTTTATTATTAAGCGGGGAAATGGAGGCACTGGAGCGAAAGAAGAGGCGGAAAACGGAGATATTTGTTGGTGGATTGGATAACGATGCAAAAGAGAGTGACGTTAGGAAAGGGTTTGAAGAAGCTGGTGGAATTGCAGAAGTAAGATTGGTGATGGATGGAAAGTCGGGGAAGAACAGAGGATATGCCTTTGTGCAATTCGCTACAGCTGCTGATGCCAAAAACGCGCTGGCAAAATGTTCTAAAGTTGAGGTAATTCTCTATTCTTGTTCTTGTAATTCGTAAGATAACATTTTATTGAACAGATCTACGGTGATAATACAGACTGAGATGAAGTTTGTGAAATAATGGCAAAAGAATTGTAAAAATGTACTCGCTCCATTTCTGTTTAAGTGACCTTTTTGCAAGAAAAAAAATCATATTAAGTGTCATTCTACAATTTTAATGAAGAATAAGTTTGTTTTGTCCAACTTTATCCTAACACTTATGACTTATTAATGAAGTGAGAGAAAAAAGATAAAAAGTCGCAGAGGGGTAATTTTGTCAAATAAAGACTTCCTCCATAAATTCAACGTTCGTTAGTTTCCTTAATTGGTGTGCATCTACATTAAACATCACATGAATCCATATTGCGTACCTTGCATGGAAAGATTCCTTTCACCATGTAACGACTTACTGATGTTTCTTATGTTATCCATTTCTGTAATTCAACCTTAGATATGTGGGAAGGTGTGTAATGCAGCACCGGTTGGCGGCAACGATACAATATTTCTCGGCAACATTGACAGAAACTGGAAGAGTGAAGACGTGAGCATTTTTATTATTATGCTCCGATCCTGCCGAAAAAGTCCTTCAAGAAAGTGATATAACTAGAGGGTTTTCTTTCTGCAGGTGGTAAAATTGTTAGAGAAAGCCGGCATCAAGAGAATCGATAAAGTTACTGTTAAGGATGATCCGAAGAATACAGGAAAGAATCGAGGGTTCGCCTTTCTTGAGCTCGAAACCTGCAAAGATGCTCAAACTGCATACATGAAACTCCAAAAGAAGGATGTTTTCGGAAACGTGATGGTTAGAGTTGCATGGGCGCAACCTTTATCCGAGCCAGCCGATGAAGAAATTTTAAAGGTGCCGCCTTTTCAATTTCTTACGTGATTAAAGAGCACTATTTCTAATACCTGATTTACGGTAGAGCTAATTTGGTCGTTTTCAGGTCAAATCCGTTTATGCAGAATATCTACCGTATTCATGGGACGGAGAGAAAGTGAAAGAATATTTCGGAAGATTTGGAGATATCGTAAATGTTGTCCTTGCAAAAGATCTTCATTACTCTAGGAGAAAAGATTTTGCTTTTATTAACTATACAACCCGGGATGCTGCTCTTGCATGCATCGAGGCTGTCAGCAGAGAGAGATTGGAGGATGGCTGCTCCAAGGTAGACTATTTAAATTCTTGAAAGTCGACTATTTTCTTCAGGAATTAATCTCGGTATTAAATTTTTATTTAGGTTAAGATAGCTGTCTCTCTCGCAAGACCAGTTCAGGGGACGAACGCGAAACATACCTCTCATCTACCTGTTAAGCAACTCTCCTATTCAGCGCAAAAGGCAGAAAGTGAGTATTAGCATTTTTTGTTTTCTTAGATGCTTCGACAGAGAATTATGCGGTGTCTAAATTTAAATATCTGGTCCCCTAATTTTTTTGGGTTTTGTAGCCTCTGTAAACCCGCACGAGCCTAGAAACAAGGGGACGCTTGGTAGCAGTAGTTATGGTCAGATGAAAGTTGATAATAGGGCTTCTACGAACGATGAACTTGTACATTTATTGAGGCAGCAATCATCAACTAAGCGTACCCCTCCGCCGCATTCCAGGTGGCCACATGCATCAACTGAGAATATCGTTCCGTATCCCCGAACAGGTATCTAATAGTTTCTTTTTGTTCACTCAGTAATAAATCTTTTACTCGTAATTTTCGAGGTTTTTAGTCTGGATTTATGCTGTGATTAAAATCAAAGAAGTCGTATTTTACATCCAATTTGCTGAATTTATCTGCTTTTACGTTCAGTCGATTCGTAGTCCATATATGATAACATAAATCCAATTATTAGTTCCTTAATACCATTAGTGAAGAAACGTCTGATTCTCTTACTGTGTTGATGGACAGGTGTTGACGCTCCGGACTATCGTTTTCCGTCACCTGGGAGCGGCAAGCGGCCGTTTTCATTAGTGGTATGTAATTGAAGCTTTTTTTGCGTAACAGTGTTCTTCATCCATTTCTCGTCCCCTTCCGCCACATTATAGTATAATTCTGGTTTTACACAGGCACACGATCCAATGTATGCGGTACCCCAAGGGTTACCGAGAATGCGTATGGAAAGTTCTTATCCGAATTCAGGCCCAAGGTTTGCAATTCTTTTAAGCTACTGAAAATGTTCATACTCGATGCCCACTTATGAATAGCGATAACCGATTTTTCTTTAATCCTTCCAGTTCCTCGTTTCACGGTGTCGGTGCATTATCTTTCCCCTATCATCAGCATCAGCATCATCATCATCATCAGCAGCCAGGGCCTGGCCCCACCTCAGGTAAGCCGTAAGCGTCTCTTCTTTTTTACTACTTTGCCATTTGCTGGCTCGCTAAACTAATACCGTGTCTTATCTCTCTCAGAGTCAGTCAATGGGAGGAGAACATATACTAGTCATTATGAGGTACAGTAATCGATGAACCAACCACGCTTCATGTCTTTTTACGCTCTTTTATTACCGTTTCCATTTTCTTTTCGTGGGGTTTCCTTTTCGTCCATGAATAACGAAACAAATTATTTTCCATCTTTTTTCTGTGCAGACAAGGGAACAAGCTCCTTACTATGGAGACTACAATAGATACCCTAGATGTAAGTTCTGCTGCTTCCAGAAACTTGTATTTTTTTTCTTCAAGCTCTTCTATTATCTACTAATGTTGGTTTTTTATATGATCTTGATTATTGTTTCTATTATCTTGAATTCGTACAGATTGATGAACCGACCTGTACAGTGGTGTGCTATAACTGGAGCTGAGTTAATTGTTTCTGCTCGGCCTAAAACCTGGAAACTCACATTAGTTGTATGTTGTACATTGTATCGGAAAGTGGTTACATATAGGAACCGTTTTACCTTTATATATGCGATGTTGATGTATCGATAAATTATAGGATTACAAATGTGACTTTGTATTATTAACTAATAAAATTTATAGAATGTTTGGTAAAAGGTACCCATCAAAATTGTCACATGAATATGAATTGTTGAGATGTGTTGCATTGCATATCGCCATATCCCACCTACCGGGCATGAATACGATGGGTCGGGGATGAACGAACCATTAACAAATACAACCGGTGCCAAACTTTAGTACAAGGCACTAATGTAATGAAGTAAACGTGACACTAAATTAGTATATCTTCTAACAATAAAGTTAACTTGGCCATAGTGTAATTGACAATTGACTAGTTGGAAAGCTAATAAATAATGCATTCATCTTCGGATAAATATCGTTATTTCTAATTTTCTCTATTCATCAATTTTTTTTTTATTTTTTTTATATATTTTTGCTCGTGAGAATTATTGTTTGATGATTTAGGAATTAGGAGTAATAAAGCCAGAAAGAAAGGCACATGAATAAAATAAACAATGGCTCACAATCTGAATAAGAATCTCTTAAAATTTCAACCAGTGGATACATTAGTAACAGTATCCTTCGACGTACACAATATAATTCTTCAAATACGTAAAAAAAGAAGAAAGAAAAACAAATAACATTACCGAAAAGCAAAATGCTCGGCGAGCAGAGACTACAACTCTAGTGAATAATCAATCATTCATCAGAAACAACAATTATTTCATCAGACCATTAGAAAATATATTCTTTAAAAATTTAATAAAAAACGGGAATTGGTGGAGAAAATAACCGAGTGTAATAATGCAGGCATCCATCATCAAACGGCTCACTTGGCACTGGCAAGCTCCTTCCTGAGGAGCTTAGCAGCAGAAACCATAGCCTCAAGTGCGGGCTTAACCTCACCGTACTTGCGAGTCTTGAGACCACAGTCTGGGTTCACCCACAATATGTTTGTTTCCAGCACAGCAAGCATCTTGTTGATCCTGTCAGCAATTTCCTCAGTAGACGGGATTCTTGGAGAGTGGATGTCGTACACACCTGGCCCAATTCCAGCACCGTACTTCACTCCCTCGCGGAAAACGGAGAGGAGCTTCTCGTCAGAACGGGAGTTCTCGATGGTGATGACGTCAGCGTCCATGTCGATGATGGAGTGGATGATGTCATTGAAGTTTGAGTAGCACATGTGGGTGTGGATCTGTTGGTTTTTGCCGACAATATTAATAAGATTGATATAAATAAATGACAAGTTGATTATAGATATTTTGAGTGAGAAAGCGGACCTGGGTGGTGTCCTCAACGCCAACATTGGTGATTCTGAAAGAGTGTACAGCCCAGTCCAAGTAGAAAGCATGCTCTGCTTTCCTCAAAGGCAAACCTTCTCTCAATGCAGCTTCGTCGATTTGGATCACAGTAATGCCGGCCTTTTCAAGATCCTCCACTTCATCCTTAATGGCCAAAGCAATTTGGTAACAGGTCTCGAACCTGTGAAAACAAATAAAAATAAAATATAAGATGTAAGCATTATTATTGACAAAGAATGTAGGCATTATATCTATATTTAATTTACATACCTAGGTTGGTCATTACGAACGAAAGACCAGTTGAGAATGGTGACAGGGCCAGTAAGCATTCCTTTCATTGGGCGCTTGGTCATGCTCTGGGCAGCGGTGGACCAGAAGACGGTCATTGGGTTGGGGCGGCTCACATCACCGTAGATGATTGGGGGCTTCACACATCGAGATCCGTAAGATTGCACCCATCCATTGGCGGTGAAGGCAAAACCAGACAATTGCTCACCAAAGTACTCAACCATGTCGTTTCTCTGGAATTTTTAAAGATTCAAAAGATATTAGCTTAAATTTATTAGTTGTTTTGTAAGGTTCAGCCATTTTCGAATTGAATTGTCTTTACCTCTGGCTCTCCATGAACAAGAACGTCAATGTCAAGCTCTTCCTGGAGCTTCACAACCTTGTTGATCTCCTCCTTGATAGCCTTGGTGTACTCCTCCTCAGAGATCCTACAAAGGGAAGAAAAGAAAAAAAAGGTTCAATATAGATTTCAATGAATGTTTGTAGTTTAGAAAGTCACGAGCAAGGGAAAAGTCACTGACTTCTTGGCCTTGTATTCACGGCGAACTCTTCGGAGTTCGATAGTCTGAGGGAAGGAACCAATGGTGGTGGTAGGGAGGATCGGAAGGTTAAGCTTCTTTTGTTGAGCATCAAGTCTGGCGCTCACGTTTGTAGCACGGCGATGTTCAGAACCCTTCAAAGCAGCAGCCTGGTTGAACAACATGAGAATGACACATATTAGTTATAGCAGCAAAAACCCTTTAAGTTTAAAGGAAAAGGTATGGAGGGTTAATTCACTTACAGCCTTCTGGACAGCTTCATTGTTCACCCTGGGAGAGGATTTCCTGGAAGCCTGAGCTGCAGCATTGGCAGCGAAAAATTCCTGGAAAGTAAACAAAAGCAGCAAAGGTATTAGTACTACCCAGATTTAACTAGTCACAATTTTCAGAGGAAATTAGTTGTGACATACCTCATCCTTGGCACCAGTCAGAGCCTTGGCCAGAGCATTAACTTCAACAACCTTTTGTGCTGCAAATGCGAGCCATGACTTAATCTCCTTGTCCAGCTTAGTCTCGTTAACCAGATCGACAGCTGTGTGTAGAAGTGAGGTGGAGGTGGACACAACAAGCTTGTCTGTAGGGAAGAAAAATATATATACATTAAAAATCAAAAAGGGAGAAACTATGCAACATAAAAGCAAACTTAAAACCTAGTAAATAGGTGTTAGCAATATAATATACCTTTTCCCACTATGCCTTCAAGAGACTGCAGTGTGGTCAGAGATGCAGCAAGATCGTTAGCCCAGATGTTCCTTCCATCAACCACACCAGCAAACAGGTATTTTCCAGAAGGGAATGAACCCTTGATCAAATCGAGGGTCTTGCTTCCACGAATCAAATCAAAACCAAACCCAGAAATTCCACTCAGCGAGGTAAGGGTTTTGTATGCTGGAGCAGGTACATCAGCAAAGTAAGTCTCGACTAGAACATTAACGCCGGATAGAGATGATTCCAGTTCAGCGTAAGCCTTGGTGAATGCTTCCAACTGGTGAGCCTCAAGATCCAAAACCAGGGTGGGCTCGTCAAACTGGATCCATGAAGCACCAGCTGCCTTAAGCTCACCAATAACTTCCCTACAAGGATATTACACATTCAAATATCAAACAATGTAAATGCTGAGAGAATCACAAGAATAACAAAACAGGTTAGCATTATTCTTACTTGTAAATTGGAAGAATTTTGTCAAGGAGAGAAAGAAGATTGAAAGTCTTCTCAACACCCTTGGCAGGCTTAGAGAGCAACAAGTATGAAACAGGGCCAACAAGTACTGGAACAGTGTCAATACCGAGCTGAGTGCAAGAACACAAAATTCATCAGGTGGAAGGAATAGACCATAACAAAATTTAAATAACAAAAGGTCATTTACTATGATAATTTGGTTTCAATCATTTTGAAGAATTAAAATTGATCTATTTACTGGTTACAAAAATATAGCAGGTGATTTACAGAGCTCATACCGCTTTAGCCTCGTTGTACTCATTCACTGCCTTGTGGGAAGCATAAGAGAAAGTAACATCGGGGCCCAACTCCGGGACAATGAAGTGGCTGCATTCATAAACCGACACAGTTAGTTAAATACAGATCAGGTAGAGTATTGACAACAGAACTATTCAAGAAATTGATCCCATCACTTACTAGTTGGTGTCAAACCACTTGGTCATTTCCATAGCAGGAACAGAAGCATTTCCTCTGGCCATGGAGAAGTAGGTGGAGAAACCAATCTCGCCACCTGTCCAGTTGTATCTTGGGGGAACAGCACCAAGAAGTGCGGTAGTATCGAGCACCTGATCATAGTATGCGAATGTGTTGCTGGGAATGTACTTGATACCGGCATCAGACATCTGCTTCCAGATGGATGCCCTGAGGTCAGCAGACACCTTCTCCAAATCCTCGGCACTGCTCTTGCCATCCCAGAAAGATTCCAAAGCAAACTTCAACTCTCTCTTTGGGCCCATACGGGGGTATCCAACAATGTGGGAGGCCATTTTTCTGTCATAACAAATTCAGTCGATGAAATCAACCACAAGATGATTAAAAAAAAAAAAAAAAAAAAAATTACATCCTAACATGCAAACATGCTCAGAAAAACAGGCAGGGGAGGATAACAAAACTAGATCCTTCAATGTATTCAGTTTGAAAACTTCCTATTTGATGTAACTACATGAAATTCAACAAAAGGTCTCAACTTTCTTCTGTCAGAATACTCACTTAGTCACACGTGCAGATAGTTTGTCGGCAATACAAGTTATTAATCAATTCATATCAAAATCACATAGATTAAATTCCAGATTTAGCTTATTCCAGATCAATTGATAAACCAGATGAGTTGAAGCTGACAAGTAAGAAAATTTAAAAAAAGCAAGTGTAACAATCGAATCAATGCAAATCCTAGACTACCCAAGCACTCAGATCCACAACTTTAAAAATAAATAATTCCAGATCCAAGCACAGGAACACAGTACATGTTCATAACAGGATACTGTGACACAATGCAGACCGATGTGCCTGAACTAAAGATACTCAATAGCCCCATTATCTCAGATCGCAAAGTTTCAAATTCAGATCTAATAGCATTTAAAGCTTATCCACACAAAATCAACCCAAACCGCCTCCACCCCACGCGCCACCAATAATAATACATTTACAAAGCCACGTAAGCATAATTTGTCGAGCGTAGAACAGAACAGCAAAAAAAAAAGTTCACTAACTAGGAAAACAGAGCAAATCGGAGTAAGATTAGGCAGCATAAAACTCCACTAATCATGCAACTACGTTAGAAACAGACAATTACCTATAGATCTAAGCGAATTGACGCAAGTTAAAAAAACTTAAAATCAACAATTCCGAAACTGAAAAGGATGAAGCAGCAGAACAAAGGAACTGACAGATAAAGCGACAGAAGTATCAGAATAGATGCAGGATTTTAGCAAACAACGAACACAAAACGAACGGCGGAGAACGCCACTAGGTACTGACTGGGAAACCGTACCTTTAGGATAAACAGGTGGTGCAGAGACCGGTTTTTGGAGGAGAGTGGTAGAGATAGAGAGAGAGAGAGAGAGAGAGATGGGCAAGACGCGAGTTTAGGAAGACGGGTGAACGAGCTTATTTATAGAAGGAAATGGTAGACTCGGGGGGTGGGGTGGGGGTGGGGGTGGGGGTAGGTGGGGGGTTGCTGCTGTGGTAGATCTCGGAAAGTGAATTCGGCTTGTTAATTTGTGTAATGTAATAGCCAGCGGATTTTTAAATTACTATTTTTTCCTTTGCTGATTTCAGTGAAATTTACTTTTTGATGGGTAATGTGGTGACGCGCAAGTGGGGGTGCGTGCTGTAACGCGCTGAGTAGGTATAGTTAGTAGTTACCGAACCCCGGAATTGATGTGGCAGATCTCTCTGCGGCGATTGGTTTGTTTCGGAAGTTCGGCGATCTGGTTGGGCTATTTGGTCTTTTTACTTTGATGCGCAGCTTTTTATTTCTTTTTACGGCTAAACTGTTAAGTAATTGACATTCTACTCCCCCAAATGGACTCTTTAGACATTTTGCACCCTTATATTAAATTCATTGCTTTGAACTAGGGTGGAATTAAGACGAACTTTAGAATTCCGCCGACTTCGATACGGTACTTTTTTTATTTTGAAATTATATTTTTCATTTTAAATTTCAAAAGTTTCGATTTTTTTTCAATATTATTATATGTTTTTTGTTATATATTACTCTCTCCGTCCCAATTTAAATGTCGTTTTGGGTTGCACATATTAAGAAAATCAATAAATGTGCATAGATTATAGTAAAAGAACAAATAAAATTACAAAAATATCCTTGACATTAATTGATTTTCAACTAATTAATTAGGAGTGCTAAGGATAAAATTGAAAATAATGTAATTAATGCTTCATTGAAAATGTAAAATGACAAATAATTTGGGACAAAAAAAACTCTCTAAAAAGACATATAATATGGGACAGAGGGAGTACTAAATGTTGGAATTTTCAAATTACGTCGGATTTCGATTCGAAAATTTACAATTTGAATTCATTCCATTTTTTCAATTTTTGACTTTTGATTTTCTATTTCTTTTAACAGAATTATAATTAGTTTTTTTAATTTCAAAACAAATTAAAAATTAAAAGTGTCAGTTTGATCCAATCCGTCCGATTTTCATCTTTACTTTGAACCATTGACATTATAAGTTGAACTTACTATATCAAGGTCCAAAAAAATATATAAGGCAGATTTTGAGTGAACAAAAAAAAGAATAAAAATAAAGCATTAAAACAAATTCTTGTGGACAAATTGAGTGATGATCAATGAACATTGCCCAAGCTTAAAAGTTGTTTTTAGCAACTTTTAAAAGTTGTTTTGAGCAACTTATAAAACACGAGACTACTTGACAAATTGCTCAGGTGTACTGCTCCATCATCACCATTAATTAGTCTCCATTATTATGCTGTTAATCACTATAACCAAAAAGAATAGTAAAAGAAAAGATTGCCTTAAAAAAATAATTAAACAGTATGAGAAAACATTAAACACACGACAATTAATAAAGAAAATAAAAAAATAAAAAAATAAAAAAAAACAAAGCAATGAATTAAGCACAGATGTTGCGTCGGTGGCCCTTATTTAGCGGTCGGCAAGTTAAAATCATGCCACGACCCAAGAATTTACGGCAAGGCTAGCTGGCACGTGATTACCTGTCCCACCGGACCACCGCCACCCGATTTTCATCTCTGTTTTCAGTGAACTTTTATTTATTATTAAATTTCCTTAAACACTAATATTGTAATAAATATAATACAAAATACAATTAAATTGCAGTAGAGATTCCAAATACAAGCAAATAACATTAATTAATAAAAAAAATATGTGATCTTGTAGATGTTGACTTGTAATTATTATTTTATTATGTATTTATGTCACTACAATTAATTATTTCCAGTCATCTCTATCTAAATACGGACTATTATATAGTATGTTTATTCATTTATATATATGCAAAAAATACACAAATATGTACTGATGTATATCTACAATGATGCTATAATATTGCTTTATTATTTACTGGATAAATGGAATAAATTTAACCAAATACGTAGTATATGTATTTCAGTAATGAAATGACAATATGAAAGTTTGATGAGTCACTTTCATTTATTGCTATAATTAGACAGAAGAGGCCGTAAGAGAATGGACACACTCACATGGGCCGAACTTGCAAGAAGTCAAGCCCCACTTTCCCTTAATACAATTATATTTAATGATTTATTCATTGGACCGACCTACTGGAACTAATGAGTATTTGGGTCATATAAAAGGTCCGATTTGTCATCCACTTACAAGATTATTAATTAATTAGTGATCGTAAGTTCATTAAGATTGACTAATTCTACTTAGAATCCTACTATAATAAGGATTTTACTGATCACCTTATAAATAACCCATTAGGCTCACTTTACAAGGTGCGATCGAATGCATCTGTTGAATTGTATTAAGTTCTTGCTCCCTGCCCTGTTGGTTATTCAGGCAACTAATTTGAGCGTCAGACCGACATAGTTCATTTTTCTTTGCTTTGCAGATTTGAGACTCGGGTATTCATATCTACGTGATGGGTACTCCGAACCAATCATCTACTAGCTTACAATGACCTATTGTCACGTTCCCATTTAATCTATCAAAGGTGATTGAAACAATTAACTGAAATTAAGGGTCCGAAAATATTTTTGTGTAAGAACTTTTCAATATGTTAGATTGATATTGTATCACTCACTTGCAGCGTTAATGAGGAATGTGAGGCGTATGCAAATTTTGCGTAACTTAAAATAACATGTCAATTTAAATTAATTTATATTTTGAGTTAAAAAAATTACTACGATCATGAAATTGAAAATTTTAAGTACACATTTTTCCATCAAAGATTCAAAATGTCTCCTAGAAACGAACAATCTAATTTTTTGGATTCTCATGGCCCCAAAAAACAATCTTAGAAATATTGCGACCGAAGGTGCTATTTCGGGGATTATATGACAAATATTCGTAAAATAAATTACTTATTTATAAATACATATTAAAATGATATATTTCTGCATATTATTATTTAATATTATAATAACAAATAGAAAGAAAATGGAGGACTAAAATTAGAAATAATTAAATACCACTTAATTGTTTTTTTCCAAACAACTTGCCATTTCTCAGCCCAGTCCGACAAAGCAAGATTGTGTTGCAAGTTGTTTTGGTAAGCCCAATAATGTTCGATAACAGTGACTTTATATGCTAGCATGCACGTGGACGGAATCATTGACCAGGGGATCTGTGAGCGTGTGCTCCACGCGCTTGATAAATGCCTGGTTTAATCACTCGATTAGTGCTGTAATTAGAAGTAACAAAGTATAATTTCTGATGGGAAAATAAAAATCTAATACTCAAGGAGTTGGTGGCTGTAGTTGGTGGGCATACGTGGCACTCCACCTGGGCCACCCCTATTTTTCGGCCACTATGAGTTGTCAAATTACCAAAATGTCCTTTGATTTGTATCAAAAATTCAAATGACTGCAATGAACAGTAGAATAAATAGTTTGTTGGATTAGTAGGTAAGTGGGGACCACTCTAATTAGTGAAAATGGTTAATAGTAAAATCATGTCCATACGTAATTATAATTAACTTATAAAATTGGGAATAAAATAATTCGAGTATTTTATTATATATATTAAAAAAAAAAAAAAAAGAGCAGCTATGGACGTGGTCCAAAAGTGGAGAAGTCGTGGTCCATCACAACGCGATTTCATTTGTTTGCTTCGTTGGCAACACTAAATTTATTGGGTGATATAAATCCAGAGTTTTAGAATATCAAGATTCATTTTATATAAAAATAAAAATGAAATCATTAAATGTAATTTGTGGGAATCCCTTGTCAACAACAACTAATTTAAGTAGTTCAGTTTGTCGTGACCAACTCATCTTACCACTGATTATTATGAGAAAAATAAAAATTAAATAAAGTTAGGCGCATATCAACTACTAGTATTTTCCATCTAGCTTGGAAGACTTTAATGATGATTGCAACGTGCAATCAGAATATATCAATATACTAACAAGACTTACGACTTTTTCCAAATAATTAATAATTAATAATTAAATTTAAACAATTATTTTGGGCCTCAATGGTTTAATGGGCTTCTGAGTTAGACTAATAGTTTAAATTAAAATCCTTTTCTGGAAATCGTGTTTGGGCCTGAACCACAGCCCACTACTTTGGCAAGTCAAATTGGATCCAATTGGGTAGTTGTTGGGTTGACTAAGGAATCGTTTACACATTGAACTCGAAGAGCTCGAGCTGGGCTCGTTTACACATAAGACTTTTATGTGACAATGATTCTTTCTTGTTATAATCAACTAATATGACATTGATCGAAACAAAAGAAGATTCTTTCTTGTATATGATATGAAATATGAATAGCCAAGAAAATTATCAAATAAACCACACATTCCACTTGTCATTAATTTAACATTTAATATTTCAAAACATAGTATAGTAGTTGGTCAAATTAATCACCAAATTGTATGAACATTACACAACTTACATACATCCATCAATCTTCATATCATTGCCTTAATTGCAGTGCAGCATCTACAATACAATGTTCCTATGATTACTAACAACATTTCAAACTTTACAACCTTAAAACAAAACCATTGAAATTCAAAACTTCAACATATTTTTTCTTCAATGTTAACTTCTTTATATCTCGATAAAAAAATCGAAGCGAAAGAATTTCAGTACTTCCGAGCACATCATCTAGACCACGGCCAACATGGCGGAGCGTTCGAAGCTACTCCGGCGAGCTCGTCCACCACGATTAACCGCCTTCTTCACCGCCCCGACATCGATCTCTCTCCCACCGATCCCCTTGAATAAAGATTCCGAATTATTTTGCTCACTACCGATCATATTAATCTTACCTTGCGACGCACCATCTTTCGTACCGCCTCTATGCACAAGTATCCGAACAATCCCCGGATAGTGCAAAGACTCGGCAATCTGCAAAGCCGAAACGCCCTTATTAGTTCTAGCCTCGATATCAGCTCCCTTCTTCACAAGCAACTCGATCACATCAACTTGGCCTGATTCCACCGCACAATGCAAAGCCGTGTACCCACACTCGTCCTTAGCGTTCACATCTATCCCCTTCTCGATCAAGGCCCGTGCCACATCAGCACGGCCCTTGAACGCGGCCCGGTGGAGCCCGGTCCACCCGTTCTGGTCCCGCCCGTTGATAAGCGCACCGTTGTCGAGAAGTCTTACGATCATCCTCAGCTCGCCCTTCCTAGCGGCGACGCACAGACTGTCGCCCAACCGGAGGGCGTCGAACAGCTTCGCGTGCCCGTTTTCCGCCGCGAGATCGTAGGCCGTTTTACCGGCCTTGTTCCTTATATCCTTATTAGCTCCCCTGTGGAGCAAAAGCTTCACCATTTGCTCGTCGCCTAGGCTCGAGGCGACGTGCAGTGGTGTTTCTCCGTCGCTCGCGTTTTTTATGTCGGGTCGCGGCGGAGTTGGCCAGCAGCAGCTTCGCGCAGTCCCTCCGACGCTCCTCCACGGCCAAGTGCAGGGCCGTGAAATTGCCGTCTTTCGTGGCCGCGTTCACGTTGGCGCCTTTGAGCAGAAGATGCCTCAGAACTTCGATGTGACCGTTGCCCGCTGCGAGGTGTATCGGACCCCACGCGGAGGATTCCGATCTCTCCGGACTAGCTCTATGCGCTAGAAGCAGCTCGACGATCAGGGCCTCGCCCGAGGCTGCAGCAGCCTCGAGCGGGCTTGTCCCTGATCGACCTCTGGCCTCCAGGCCCGGCCCGAACTCGAGCAGTAGCTGGACTAAATCAGGCCGGGCCTGAGAGATGGCCAGGTGGAGCAACGACTGCCCATCAGAATCAGTCGAGTCAGCCGATTTCCAAGAGGGATCGCTCTTTTCGAGAACTTCTCTAATTTCATCCATGTTGGAGCCTTTCGACACAAGCTGAGTCAGTATCTGGGATCCAACGAACATGACTCTGATACCACTGTCGGAGTACACCTGCTTCTTCTTGTGCGTGAACCACTCGACCGGGACAGAGTCGTGGGTGGTCGACGGGTTCTTGACCGATGCCCCGGGAGCCACCACGCTCTGCAAGACGAACGAGTCGTCGCAGTGCGGGAAACGGTGCGGGAGGGTGGAATTCGGCGGGAGATTGTACGTGATCTCGAGTGTGACTGTAGTCAAAGGTAGTATGATCCCTGATTGTGGGACAACATTGTACCGAGTTTTGTTGATCGGCTGGAGACGGAAGGCGACGGGCATCGTGTACATGACGTTGCGGAGGGTTAGCTGACCGGAGCACCGATGCCCCGGCTCGACCCGGATTATGACAACGTTCGACGGCTCCAAACTTATAAGCCTGTCCATTGTTAGTAAGTATGTAATATGTATTGAAGTGAAAGATAAGAGGTTAATATATGGAACGGAGAAACGGAGAAGCCGGCTATAACGAGGAAGTGACACTTGGTGGTGTCGAAATCAACGAGGACTTGTTCTATTCGGTGTCCGATTTATATCAACAGTTGATTTGCTTCTTGTGCTTATTATTGAGGTCGTTTTCATTGCCTTTTTTGTATTTGTTGTAGCAGTTGATTTTAAATTGTTTAAATAAATTGAGATCAGCATTGTTCTTTAACTGTGTTTTCATTTTTTATGTTGTTACTTACTGGTATCCATGGGCAGGAGATTCCTGATGCCTTTTCTCTCTATGTTGTAAGATATCATAGTTTATATTTTTAATTTTATCTATAAAGACGAATCCTCTGCTTTAATAGATTAAAGCATAGAATTTGTCAAATCTATTATAAAAATCATTTTTATTAAGCAACGTATTAGTGCGTGGTTTGCTAGCTATTACACAAGAATGAGGTTTACTGGGAACACATATGTGTTTGAGTGTTTTTTTTTTTTTGGTTAAAAAAACAAAAAATATAAACAAAAAGAAAATGATTTATTTAACAAAAATCTACACTAGGACTAGCTGAACAAGGCACAATTTATTTGTTGTTCTTGGTGAATCTTTGAATTACACATTCAAGGAAACTCCATTTTACCTGCAAATCAAATAATCACCAAAAAAAAGTAAGGTAATTGTGCAACCAATGGGTAATTTTTTAAAGGGTAAATTCCACTTTACCCCCTTGTACTCTGCCTGAAAGTCACTTTACCCACTCGTACTCTCAATTTTATCGATTTACCCCCTTGTACTTGTACAATTTCCCAATACAGCCCTTTCCTTCAATTTTTGTCAATTTTGACTCTAACGCCGTTTGGTCAACTCTGTAAATTACAAAATTGCCACTTCCTATAACGCGTCGTTTCTCCTCCGTCAATATTGTCATTTCTTCTTCTCCCACCACTTCCCCTTCCAAGATATCCCCAAATTAAACCCCTAACTTAGTAAAAATCAAGACCCAAAAATTGATCGATTCCACCCAGTGTTAAGAAAAAAAATATATGAATGTGTGAAACTTTCTCTTTTCTAATCTCGATAGTCAAAATCGAAAAATTTCAATATTTACGTCAATATTTTGACTCTTGACCAAATGGCGTCAGAGTCAAAATCGAAAAAAGTTGACGAAGAGGGTTGTATTGGGAAATTGTACAAGCACAAGCGGGTAAATCGACGAAATTAAGAGTACGAGGGGATAAAGTGGTTCTTGGGCAGAGTACAAAGGGGTAAAGTGGAATTTACCCTTTTTTAAATCAAAATATTAAATTATACCTTTATAATTTAATCGCTATCACTCCCGCTGCTGCTGTGGCCATGTTCGTCGCCATGCTCGTGCTTCTTCTCTTTCTTTTTCTTTTTCTTCTTTTCCTCCTTTCCATGTTCGCCGTGCTCTCCATGGATCTTCTCCTTCATCTTCTCCACAATCCCCTCGTGGTGTTCGCCGTGGGAATGGGATTCCTTGTGTTCGCCGCCGTGGGAATGGGATTCCTTGTGTTCACCGTGGGAATGGGATTCGCCTTTCTTGTGCTCTTCCACGTGTTTCTTGTCTTCCTTGTGATCTCCGATCCCCAATGTCTCTTCTATCTTGTCGATGATTCCCGACATTTTTTCTTACTCTATAGAATGTAATGAGTTATTGTTCGATGATAAATGGGGAACGAAGCTCAATTATTTATAGGAACCTAACGGGTTGACAGCGAACAAATTTTCTTCTAAATATAGGTAACATTATCCCCATAATTAGGATTCTGTTACTGTGGAAAATGCAATAGAAATAGTCACAAAGCACAGAAACATTGCTCCCAAAAATAGCAACACACGATCCGAAAATATTATTTAGATAGTGGATATAAAAATTGTACTTCATCCAACGTAAAAGCATTGTTTTCGTTACGATTGAGATCAAAGTCTATACAATAATGTGATCTCTAAATTGAGAAGCTAGCCTACTAATTTCTTAGGATGAATCCATTGTAATATTAATAGATCGAATCTAAACAGAAACACGAAGAATCATATGTGTGACATGGTTTCAAAAGATGCTACTTCCATGTTATTTGCACTTGATCTTCTTTATTTACCTCTAACTTTCTCCAAATCAGGCAGATCTGCAATGCGTAGAAGGAAGATAAAAGTATGATAAGCAACTAAGTAAGAGATTACGACCCTGAAAATTTACGAAGAAAACGAACGTGGAATGTGGAATTGAAATTAGAACTTACAAAGCATCCCTTCGTCACCACTGCTGTCTTCATTTTCACCAGTGTACTACAGAAGATAAGCAAAAATTATGTTAAATACGGTTTAATGACATACTTCCAATTCGTATTATTGAAAATTGAAATATTCGATAATTAGAAGGGATTAAGGTGATTACCACAATATCATCATCATCAGAACCCACGTTTGCTGCAAGTATACAACAAAATTGTGTCAAATACAAAGAAAATTTAGCCACGATATAATGCCAAGGGTAGGTCCTTAGTATGTATATAGGTTATATCATATAAAAACATCATGGCCTGTCAAAATGTCACTGTGATGAATCTGGAAAAAAGTATATATATTCTGTATCTATCTCAAGAAATAACTCTCGTACTAGCTAGATTTCTCACGGTAGTTGACACATAGGCCCAATAAGCAGAAGATATTTCAAGAAATGCAGTTTAGCAGGTTTGATCTGGATCTTTGAAAAAAATTTGGTTTAGTGTAGCGCATGGATGAAAATCAGCACTAGCCTCTCCTTCAGTATCGTTCATGATGATTTTACTAAAACGAACAACTATGTAATTCATGTAAAAATAGCATCAAACCAGCACTAAGGAAAAACGAAGAAGGTGAAATATAACAATGTCTGAAAACTGTAAAAAACAATGTGATGTAGAATGAACTTACAGTCCGATTCTTCGTCATCCTCATCGCACCATTTATTCCAATCAACCTTAATGTACGGAGCAGGCTTTTCTTCAGATCTCAGTAGTCTTTTCCACCATCCTTTCTCCTCTTTCTCGATAGAGCACAGTATGTTCCTTAAACCAGTCTTCGTCTTACATCCCTGAGTTTATTCACACAAGCACAACATATAATCAATCATCCCCCGTTTTCTTAATAATAAGTAGAATATATATTTCCCCCCAAATATGTTTAACCGGAAAGAATATCGATCAATTAATATTGATCGAAGGATACTTCATGTCCTTTCTCATACAGAACAACAATTTATACAGAGGTTCATGTTGCAGTTATTCAAGCATAATGTCGAACGAGTAGTCAAGCCAAAGCGCGCATTCCTAACTTATTCAGCCCAATTTACACTACTTTGATAAACGAGTGATATTCTAAACCACAGGCAAATCCTGGAACAAGGCAATTAGTAAACCAACCATGGTTCATTGAAACAAATACTCCTTGTTTTACATATTTTCGGTTTTACTAATTGTTGATTTAATTTTCTTTTAATTACATCTTCCCAAAGCTGATTTAACATAACTATTTCTACTCCGCCTTCAGTTCTAGAAACGGTTTTCAACAATAGCAATTAGCAACAATAACTATTGCATCATCATCGAAACTCTGAAATAAAAAAATCAGGACCAAAAAGTATGATGAAGAAGACGGTAATAGTGGGAAAATAAGTAGTACCTGAGGGGCAATATTGCCATAGAATTGGAGAGTGAAATTGAAGGGCTCTCCACAAACCCCAACCGCAGAGAAACTGAAGAATCCCTCAGCTTCACATTTTACCGAAATGTCCTTGGCGTCCGGCAGAGATACGGTCAGGTATACCTTTCCCGACCTCTGCGCCCATAGAACCTCGGGATGCCGACTGCAGCAAACAGAAAACGACAGTCCATCCAGAACAAACTATAAAAAATCAAGGAAATCGTCGAAGAAGAAGACGATCGTACTGATAATTTATGAAATTACAGAAAGGAAGACAAATTAAATTGAAATAAATCTTCGAGAAATGATTAGGACTTAGGATTACCCCATTAAGAATTAGTTCTTCGCTTCTTCTAGTTTTGATGCAACACGCGAAGGCCAACAATGGCGGAGGTGTAGTCACTGTAGAGCAACACTGGAGAGAGAGAGAGAGAGAGAGAGACTAAGAGCGCTTTCTTCAAGTATTAAAGCTTGACCCATTTTCCTAAAGATGGGATTTGTTTTATTAAATTGGACTCCGACCCATTAATTATTTTTCTTTTAAAAGACGGCCCATCAATTAAATTTTGTATTTGTTAATTGGACTAGAGCCCATTAATTAAGCTTCTTTTAGAAACCGGCACATGAATTAATTTTGGTAGTACATTTTTTTTATTTGTTAATTATTTTTTGAGAATAATTTTGTTTTGTGCATCTTCACTTATGATCTTAAAATAGATTTGATTATTATTAATTTTTTATACGTGTTTGTTTTGTTCGATTTTCACTTATCGGATTTTCAAGTTTGATCTTCGTTCATTTGAATTTTCGGCTTTATTTGTATATATAATATCTTTCTTGTCTTATTTCAGCTTTAAGTAAAGAAAAACTATTTTTATCGATTCGTGACAATTTAAAATCAAAATTGGTTTCTCAAGCCAAAATGGTGGACAAGAAGACTACCCTGATTGCGATCTATGGTTCATTTTGACATTTTCAGATAGAATATGATTAAGACCAAGAACCAGATCGCGATTATTTCAAACAGAAAAGTGATATAGGGTTTGGATCGTCTTGTGATGATAGTGTGCATAACTTAAAACTTATTTACATAAATACTATTCCAAAAAGATATTTAAAAATAAATAAATTTTGAAAAAGAAATGTGAGAATGATAAAGTCAAAATATAATTTGACATATATATTACATTTTTTATTCATATATAATTATATATGTGTATTACTTATTTCATTAAGTGAAGTGTTTTGTTTTTGTTTTTTTTTTTTTTTTTTTTTCTTTTTTGAGTAAAATAAATTCAATTTAAAATCGATGGTGTGAAAATAATATTTTGAGTTCATGGTGGCGACATTTATAATTTGGATACAGTATGGGGGCAGCGTAACAATTCTTCGATTTCAGATTTCCTTTCTCAGAGCCTTCCTCACGATAGTCGAGAACGACTAGAAGAAACATTTCCAGGAAAACGCCGATGGCGATGGCGGTAGAGGGCGGAGGCGGCGGCGATCTATCGGAGTTGTACTCCAGCTCTAAGCGGATGTCTCTGAAGATCAGATATGATTTGGAAAGGCTTGAGCGTCTGGAGTTCTCGTCAGCATCATCCTCTTCGCTGTCATCATCGAACGCCGTCGTCCCGGGGTCCTCCGATGATCAGGCAACTGCAATTCGAAGAGATATAAACCAGATCCAGTCTCTCTGCGCCGATATGGATCGCCTCTGGCGTTCCATATCCAACAAGCCTCAACGCGATCTCTGGAAAAGGTCTCCTTCCGTCTTTCTGTTTGTGTTGTTAGTTTTCGTATTTGGTGATTCTATGAATGCATTTTCGTATGTGGTGATTCTATAAATGCATTTTCGTTGATCTTTGTTAATTTATATGAACTCTGATCTAAATTTGATGATATCTCGGAATTCTGATCTGGCGAGCTGCAGGCTGAATTGATATTTTCCTTTTGAAGATGTATAAAATTGATGTCATTGGACTGGTGTTAATATGCTATTAGGGTATTTTGGGAATTAAGATTGTTCTCTGTTCATCTTATGTTGATGTAGTACCAGGATTGCGAATTGGATTAAATTGTATGTTTTATTAGGGCAATCCGTTGCAGCATAAAGAGTGCATGGGATCCATATAAGTAGATGAATAATTCTATGCAGATAATTTTATATGAATGATTTTTCACGGCTCATGTTTTAATACCCTTTATGGAGTAGCCATTTTAATATAAACACTAATGTTTGGCAATGCCATGCTAGAGAGAAGGGCATTTCTGTCTCTTCTTGATCTTGGAGCCCTCTGCGTGGAGTTAGGTTCATTTAGTTGAATTCTGTTCATTTACTCGGGAAACAATTTTAGGATAAAATGTTCGTTAGATATCTTGATCCATTTTGAGGGGTAACAGGAAGGTTGGGGTAGAATATATAATGAAGTTTTATTGTCATATTGGAATTTTTTTTGTAATGTCGAAAAGTTAATAGTTAATGTGAAAGCTGGAATCTGAAGATAGAGAAGTTACTGCTAGTGGCTTAGTGCCCTTACATCTATCTACCCGATGAAATCATTACCCCATACTTTTTCTTGCTGTAGGAATAGGATATGGATTCCCTGCATATACCTGTCTTTATTTGCATCTGTTAGATCTATTGTTCGATTTAGATCCATTTTCTGGGATGAAGGAAGGAATTAATATTACTTTTGTTGCACAGAAAAGTGGAACAAGTCAGCGAGGAGGCTGAATCATTTAGAGCTAGTCTGGATAAATACCAATCAAGGCATCAGAAACGAGTACAAGATGCGCAAGAGAGAGCAGAGTTACTAGGAAGAGCTGTATGTCCTTTGTCTGAGATTTGATAACACTTGTCTTTGTTCTGTTTGTATAAATGAACTTATATGTTTGAATTTTGATGATTCTCCCTTTTGTTTTTAGAATGGGGATTCACATGTTTTGAGAATCTTTGATGAGGAGGCACAAGCAATGGAGTCAGTTCGTAGATCCTCCAGATTACTAGAGGATAGTTTTGCAACTGGAGTTGCCATTCTTTCAAAGTACAGTGAGCAAAGGGATCACCTCAAGGTAAATTTTTTGAAGCATCTCATGTAAACACCGTTGCTGCTATTTTATGCTCTTTGATTTACATACTTTAGAATTGCAACATGCACATTCCCAAAACAATGCGTAACTATACCAGATATTGATAGTACTTCAGTAAAGTTTAATGATTGAATATTCGTTAAAACAGTCGAAGAGTGCTGTGATACGATTTTAAATTAAGGAACATCATCATTGTAAGGGTTTCTGCGTATGAACTTTTGATTTTTTTTTTATAATTGTATAAACTTTTGATTGATCAGTTTCTGTAATAAGTAAAATGATAAAAAGGGATCCAGATGATTTCTCAAGGAGGTAGGATTAGAGCCTGTGGGAAGTTCTAGGATTAGGGTAAATTTTGCTACAGAAGTCACTGATTGCATTTGACTAATGTATTATATATTATATACTTAAGAATGTCTAACAGTAACCAATTAATCGAGAAAAATCACTTTTGATCTTTGAGATACATCTCTCTAAGCAGCTTATATTAGAAGTACAGGCTTCATATGCCTTGGTGGAATCACTCTTTTTGGCCAGTCAACTGATTGAAACCCCTGCTTATTTGATAGCTGTTTTTGTAGGTTTTTTCATCAGAATGGTTTGAATTCATAAGATAATAGATTACATGGAAATGTGATTTAGGCAAGCAAGTCGATTTGTAACGTCTTCCGATCGAAAGAAAAACGTCTAATGAGCACAGTGTCATTTTTATTTCCAGTAGATTTTATAGTGATCGTTGTCCATTCGTGATACATAAACTAACTTTTACTTTGAGTAAAAAACCCTTCTCTTGTGGGACTTGAAATCGAAATGTTTTTTGTAGAGAGTACCTCAATTTCAGAGTACAATTTAGTTAGTATGCATGTCTTTAAGCTATGAGAATTTCAATTAAATATTCCGAAGATTTCTTCCTCTACTGCAGCAGAGCAGCAGATTTCGTAGCTGGTATGGTGTTAAGTTTGGCCATCTTTAATACCTTCCAATTCTCGAGTACCGATATTCTATGAGAAATGATTAATGTATGTATATACATGGTTATCTTAAAAAGAATGAGAGTTCTTGGTCCTAGTCAGCTTTAATAAGCTTTTTTTTCTTCGTCTTTGATGCAGAGAGCTCAAAGGAAAGCACTGGATGTTCTCAACACTTTAGGGCTATCAAACTCCCTACTGAGGATAATCGAGAGGCGGAACCGCTTCGACAAATGGATTAAATATGCAGGCATGATTGTAACAATCGTCGTCATCATTTTTTTCTGGAGGTGGACTAGATGACCGAGGCTGCACCCAATCTATTACCAAAGTTTTAATTGACATATATAGCATTTCTTTAATCTTTTGTTGCAGTAAATTTTCACCATGTACTTGTAAAAAGAAAGTGAACTATAGTCGAATTTTCGTAGATAATTTGGATATTCTGCTATTAGGATAAGAATTCGATTTCGGTTTCGGTTTCGGTTTCTGCGGAAATCCTTAGTATAATGTTTTAGAAAAATGACTACCATCACAAACTATAACATCTTAATGAATAAGAGAATATTCAAACTACATTCAAAATTTACTCCACATCAATTTAATTTATTATTTATTTATCGATAAAAAGTTATACACTTTAATTACTTAATTATGTTTGTTCTGTACATATAAAATTGCGGATTCTACTATTATATATTGTCAAAGAAAAAAATGGATTATATACATGCATAGAAATTCAGTTTTTTTGTACATTATACATGCAAATGAGTAGCAATAATATTTTAGTTCCATATATAAAAAAAATTACTGTTGGTGCTTCAAATTAATGCGATTAATAGCAATAAAACAAACATAATTAAGATTCGTTTGTTGGTCGTTGTCGCATTTATTTCGATTATATATATAAAAAATCTTCGTTTAAAACGAAGAAAAATACCATTTTTTTTTTGAGAAAAATGACGTGTCGTTAGGTGAATAAAAATAAAAATTAGGTTGACATGCGTCGATCTTTCCACGATTCCGTTCAGTTATGTATTACTGTCACGGGCATTGCTAAAGACCACCGGCTGTACGAAGCTAGGGTCACAAACCGTTTTTTAGATAATACGCTTTAGACTAATTAAAAAGGTGTAACAATCAATCATCTTAAGTAATGTTTATGTTGTACAACTTGCTAGACAAACTATTATTTGCAAATGCAGAAAAAAAATCTCAAACACTTATGAAAGTAGCAGAACTGCTATAAATAGCTTAAAAAAAAGTTTATTTTTCAGCAAAGAAACAAAATAAAAACACTGAAAACAATGCTTATACTTTTGTATATAGTATAAAGTAGAAATATATTATTAATAGAATAATCAAATTATAATTATAAGTAGCAAAAACTGATCCAGTGACACTATCATTTCCCTCACATAAACCAAATAGTTCCTATGAAGACAACCGAAAGGATCATCGTTGCGTGCAGAAATTATGCAACTAATTTACGAATTAAAAATAAAAAATAAAAAATAAATACTTTGTGCATCACTCTGCATGTAATGTGCAGCTGTCCTCTGGCTGTCACTTTACTTAAATTCAAGCCGATTTCTGGTGTTTTCTGCGTTTTTCCGTTCGGTGTAGCACTATTGATATGCGGACAAAATTTGATAAAGAGGGCCAATTTTTCTGGTGTGTATTTATATGGGGTGTGTGAAACAGGAAAAATATTACATCTTTATACTAATATTCAGGAAATTATAGAGAGAGAGAGACAGAGAGAGAAAAATCGAGGGGAGTGTACCGGAAAAATGGCATTTGACATCCGGCAAGTTATGGCTGCTTTTCTTACATTTTCCATGTTTATAATGCTCGGAAACATGATCAAGACAGACCATATCGATCCACTATTCGTAAGTTTTTGTTTCAACTTCTTGATTTTATTTTCGACTTGTTTAAAATTTATGTTCGAAAGAAAAACCTTTATTTTTTCCAGTTTTTTTTTTCGAGCTTTCGTCCAGAATCTATGACAAGGATCTTATGGTTGTCTTATTAATCGTTACGATTTCTTTTAAAAAAAATATCTTTATTTTGAAAGTTTTGATTTTGTTATGTATTTGTGATTCATGAGTATTTAATTAATTGTTGATTAAAGAAAGTTTTCATGACGTTTTGCGTGAACAAAAGAAGTAAAGATTGTTTTCGTTAAATAACAACTTAATGAATCGGACACTGGATATTCATTATTAATGGTGACGATCTGCGCTTAAATGTTTACATTATTTCTTGAAGGACTCGATGGAAGTATCAGAAAATGTCAGATATGATTCGTTCAAGGTTTCGAAACAGAGCATGGTCAAACTCCAAGAACTCGATTATGGCCCGTGGCGCGTCAAGAGTGATACCCTCAAACCTTGCTGGAAAAATCCCTCATCAAGTAAGTCACCTTCCAATGTGTGTGTATGTGTGTGTGTATATATATATATATATATATATATATATATATATATATATATATATATATATATATAAATAATAATTCTTGTTTATTTTGTTTTCTTGTTATTGCAGAAGGGAAAGAGAAGTCCAACAATGGTTACATCTTTTTCTCATTGACTCATGGCCCTGAGTTTCATGCTTCCCAGGTTTATTTAATTTACTTAAAAACAATTCAGTTGATTTTAATAAATATATGTTTTTATTATTTCCTAATAAATATAATTACTACAAAATATAGGTAGCGAACGCCGTGGCGGTAGCCAAACATCTTGGAGCAACACTAGTAATCCCGGATATTAGAGGAACGAAATTAGGTGACAAAAGGTGATTATCGATATTTATTTTCACCGTTTATTTAAAATTTAAAACAAACTGATTTCGAACTACTTTTTTTTTTTTTTTTTTTTTTCAGGCAATTTGGAGATATCTATGATGTCGACACGTTCATCGCAGCCCTGAAAGAAATAGTTAAAGTTGACAAGAATGCCCCTGCCGAATTATCATCGAATGCGAAACTGTATACCATGAGAATTCCCAATGGAGTTTCCGAAGATCTCATAGCATCGAAAATCGAGCCTGTTTTCAAGCGCGAAAAGAACTTGAAAATCGTCACTTACTTGAACGGCTCCTCGGGTATGAACAAGCTGGCAAAACTTGACAGGTCATCAAATGCGCATCAGTGCTTAGCGATGTTCGAAAGCCTTAAACTCAAGAAAGATTTGCAAGAACTGGTTGACTCGATGGCCGGTACATTGAGAAGCATCAGCCGGAAAACTCGAGGCCGTTTTGTGGCAGTGGATTTACGGGACGACATGTTGGAGGGAAAATCATGCCAGGAAAAAAACGATGCAGAGGAAAAAACGTGCTTTAACGCAGAAGAACTTAGCAAGTTTTTTATTAAAATCGGTTTCCATTCAGACACGACGTTTTATGTAACTCAGACAGGATGGAGCAGCAACCTTAATCCTCTCAGAAAAGTCTTTCCCAACACTCTCACAAAGGTAACATTCTTTTCAATATTTATTATATATATAACAAAAAAAAAAAATTAATAAATAAATAAATAATCGTGTTTTGCAGGATGCGATAATACCTGCTGATCAGAAAGCGAAATTCATGGATTTGAAGAGTCGTGAATATGAAAAATTCATCGACTATTATATGTGCGTGGAAGGTGATGTGTTTATTCCTGCATTTCGTGGGAGGTTTTATGGGAGTGTTGTCGGGGAAAGGATTGCGTATGGAAATACGCAGATATTTCTGCCATCGAAGAACACTAGCTCGGAGTCTGCAGTGGATTACATATCGCCTTATGTATCCAAGAAAAGCCATGTGGCTTATTCTTGCTACTGTTGAAGAAAGTTTCTGAGTGTATGTATGTAATGTAATGTATGTACTTGTGTTTGAGGATCTTTTGAGGTCCTATGTCGAATAATAAACGTTCTGTTTCCGAAGTATATATATATACATGTGTGTGTGTGTCTGTGTGTGTGTGAAGCTTGTGCCTAATTATTTCACTTAATCAGAGTACTTGTTTTTATTTAATTAATATTAACGATGATATATCGATTTACTGAAAGAAAACATGCATAAAAAATTATGAAACGGGAAGGAGCAGAAGCAGAGGGACAACATAAACCAAATATATCGAATAAGAAATGTATTTCGTTTAAATAGAGTCGTAATTTATAATGAGATATGATCGAAAAAAGAACCAATAGTTTGTAATTCTGAGAGGCTTCACTTGCAGAAGCAGGGAGAAATGTAACAATTCCAGTCTTTCCAAAATCATTCTTCATCGGAATAATTGAACTTTATCGAGTGCGAATGCAGGTCGATTTGCCCTCCCCTGTAGCTACCGCGCTTCTTCTTGGTTTTTTCATGTCGAAAGTCCCTGCAAATCAAGAACCGAAAGTGGTATTAAGGTAAATAATTTTTTTTCATTTCAGAAAAAAATTTAGAAGGGTCAATGTTTAGAATCACAAAGAAACACACCTTCCTTTGACTTGTCCTAAAACCTCTTGTGCTTTTGCACCATAACCAATATCTGCACCATCCTGCAAGAAAAAATAACAGCAGAAATTAGACACTGAATTCTGCAACGAAATTATACGTCAAAAATTGTTTCCTAGATCAGTTGATTTTGGGTTAGGGCAAAAATAACTGGTTTAGTTCAATTTTTTTTTTCTTTTTTTTTTTTATTAAATTGAAGTGCAAAACATTCACATACTACAAGGAAGCTACATGACATGACATCGTATAAAATATTAACACGATCAAGAAAATCGTAATACAGATCTGCGTGTACAGCTGGTGATGATATATAATCAGGAAACGAGAGAAGGAAAGCCAACAAACCTTTGCCCAGTAAGAATTATCTTGAAGCCTCTCATCAGCAAATTTCACCTCTTCAACTTTCACTCTTTGAAACGCAATCTGTGCTTTTGGCTGCAAAAGAATAACATATTTATTTCTCGAAGAATGACTTCCTTCAAATTATTCCATAGAATTTCCTAACATTTGTCATTAAGTTTCGTATGTCATATCTTTCCATGAGGTGTGTTACGTGGCCGTAAAAAATGTAAGTTATCGGTCATAGTATGAAAACCATTTAACATACAATAAAGGTCGTAAATTATGGGAATACTAACATATGAATATACATTACATACCTCCGCGGAATTGTTGTGCTTTTTCCTTGCAGATTTCTGCTCAGTTGAATTATCCACTAAATTGCCATTTTGTTTGTCAGCATGTCCATTCACTTCAGGTACTGCAGTCTGTGGAGCGGCATCTTTGCCTTCTTTCAGACCTTTAGACTTCTTCGCCTTCGATTCTTCAACTGCCACTTCAGGAGCGGACTGATTTTCATTTTCATCAGCAGCTATTCTTTTCCTCTTCTTTGAAGACTTCTTCGATTCATTAACCCCATTTTCTGCAGCCCCAACTGATATTTCTTCAGATTTCTTGTCTAGTTTTGTTTCTTCAGAACTCTTAATTGATAAAACTTCATCTTTTGATTTAGTCGCCTCAGACGCATTGCTTTTCTTTCTCTTCTTGTCTCCCTTTTTCTTAGTCGATTTTATATCAAGGTTTGAATCACCATTTGTTTCTGTTGTGGCGACGACATGTTCTTCTGTAAAAAAAAAAAAAAAACTTTATTAAGTGCAACACTCAGAATTCAATTATACATAACCAGGTAGCAAATGCAGGGGAAAATGTGGGAAAACAACATTGAGTTTATCCATATATATTACCTTGGTTCTTCTGCAATTTTAAGTCTTCGTTACTGCACAAACGAGGAGGTAAGCAACATCAGAATTATAATTACGATTAGCATGGACCCAACGAAAATAATCTAACGGGTAAAACATTTGAATAGCTTACGAAATCTCCTGATACTTGGAGAATATCTCATTCAAGTCAAGTGCCTTCGATTTCCAGTTGTCATCCTGAACCAAAAAAACACAAGAAAACCAACGAATGAATACCGGCAAAACAAATTCTACAATAATTTACGTTCTTCGGATTGTTTTCGACTCTTCTATTCACATATTTTGGCTAAAATAAGTTCTAAGCACTCTCCCCAATTGGATTTTCCATAGATAACTAGATTCATCACAAGCACAAATCACAATCTCTTCATTTTACAACCAACATTTAGCTAAGCAGAATCATATTTTCAGATTAACTAAAGGTATTTGCAATCCACTCCCCGGAAAAAAAAAAGATTGTGAATTGTATGTGTATTCCCATTCACCTCATCTGAAAATCAAAGGATTCATTATACATATATACATACAGACCTGAATTTGAGCTGCGGAGAGGAAGCGTTTGAGTACTTTGGAAAAGCCCTTGCTTTCGAGCCACAGAGCGACGGAAGAGGCCAATATAGATTCGTCTTCGGGCTTCATTTGAGTCTGGATTTCGGGCCCGTTCGGGTTTCTCTGCTGCTTCTCTAGGAGAATAACTTGACGAGGCTTGAATGCGAGAAGGAAGGATGGGCTAGGGCTGACGTCACTTCCTCGGCGCATATAATACAGGGTTCATATATATATATATATATATATATGCGTGTCTGTCTCGGTGCTGCTCTTCGCGTTGAGGAAGAAGGGTTTTGGTTTTGGAAGCGGGAGGGATAAAAGCGAGATGAATTAGGGTTTTGAAATGCATTCGGTGTTGTACGTTCTGCATCATATCTTGTACATTACAATTCAGTTGCCTAAATAAAATTAAATTTCAGCCCCCTTAATTATTTTTAATTGAAATACACGAATTGATTATTTAATATTTTATTTACTGATAACTGCGTAAATAATATATTAGTTGGCCCATAAATTGAAGAGAATAATTTATTTATTAAAAATTTCTTAATATTATTGTTTGTTTTTTTTTTCATTTTAAGAGCGAGACTATGCTATAAAAATGCAAATAATCACTTTTATCAATTTCAACGAAATATCAATTATATACCAATCCAATAAACATTATTGTTTTTAATTTAATAATTATTAATTATTTCACTTAATTTACAAAAAATGGAACATAGAGAGAGTGTTAATTTTAAATTAGAGAGAGTTTTAAATTTTTAATATTAAATATTAATCAATCCTTCATAAATTGAAGCCCATTAATTGTAAAGTTATGCCGCCAAAAAAGTTTGATCTCGATTTGTTATTTTGGGCCTTGTTAATGAAGCCCATTAATTGTAAAGTTGGGCCGCCAAAAAAACAAAAATAAAATAAAAATAAAAAACTATTATAGAGCTACGTGTAAGCCAATGCATATTGACAGCACGTGTTCCCCTCAATGCAAGACACGTTTTGTTAAGATACACCACGTGCATTATATATAAATTCGTGGGGAATTAAGCAGAATCAGTATTAAAAAAGAGCAAAATTAAATATTAATTATCAGATTAAATGGAGGCAACGAAAGAGAGAAAAGAGGAGATGGAGAAGGAGAAAGAGAAGCAGGGGGTTGATAAAGATCCGATGGGTAAAGCTAGGGAGATTATTAGAGAATCTTTAATTAGTGAAAGTGATTATGATCCTAATGAAGGATTAGCAAAGGATGATAAGAGTAAATCAGCAAAGGATGATATTTTAGCTTATTCAAGAACGGTTCACCACAAGGATTCTTCGCTTGAATGATCTAGTTACTAGTATATATATATATATCTCTTTCGGTTTTCGACTTTTTTCTCCTCGAGTTTTTATTCCGTTTGCTTGTAAATTTGTTTCGGTTTTTTATGTTCTGATTTTCTGTTGTGTGAAATTGGAAATGCATAATGCTTTTTTAAATTGGTTGAGAAAATGATAAGTACATTAATTTGTTATTAATTTTTTTTAAATAAATATAAATATATTTGGACTAAAATTAATTAAATTATATAAATGATAAATGCGTTTATTATTATAAACAATAAAAATATATATATATATAACATAACACAATAAACTACAAGAAATTTTTTATAAATAAAATTCATGACCCAAATTATAATGGTTTTTGCAAACCGAAATGATAACATAATTTTATGATTGATAACTGTTAAAATTAATTGTCAAATACTTATTTGATATTTAATATTTTAGTTTGATACTTGAAGAAATTTATTTGCTCCAACCTAGGTATCAAAAAGTTCTTGGTTAAAATTAATTAAGATGATTATAAATTTAATTAACGCATGTCATTTTCTAGTTGATTGTCTAGAATTCTAACAAAATGATATAACTATTTTCCTTCAAAAAACAAGAAAAGAGAAGAAATCTATAAATAAAAGAAAAGATAACGGCCCAATAATTACTTTATTTATCCACTGTAATTTGGGCCCTTTTAATTTTATTTTAGGGCTTAATAAATAACGGCCCAATAAGCAGAAAGCTGTGTTCTCGTTATATACATCTAGGGTTTTTTTCAACGTCCCTCCTTCCAGCCTCTCACTACCAGGAAACTGTACATCTGCTTGAGCTACTTTGAATCAGGTAATTTTCTGATTTCGTGCTTTATGTTCGTACTTTGAATCTCTAATTTTGCTAAACATTTTTTAATTCCATATGTTTTTTTTGTTACGGTTCTGTAGTGATTGTACTGTTAGAATTAACTGAGCCAAATCACATTTTATTGGGTTTTCTGAGATAACCACTGTTCATTATAAATGGTGGGTGAAGCAATTCGATGCATATGCTATTTTATTTCGGCTGTGTTATTTTGGAGTGGGATTTGTTTAGATTCATACGCATTGGTAATCTGTAATGCTCTGCTGTAGTTAATTAAATGATTAGTTCATATGTGAGCGTTCCTTTAGCTATTGATTCACTTGATTTTGTAGTGCAGATTATTTTTTACTGATAATTAGGTAATATTTTTCGGCATTTTTTTTCGAATGGCGATCTTCCTTTAGTCTTACGAGAGATACTACTGCCTATGGGGAAATTGGATTGTTTCCCCCATAGTTTTTGTGTGTATTCTAAGGCATGATAAGAAATATATCTTAGTGGACCAATTGTAATCGGAACTGAGTTCAGATTTCTCGGGTGCCTGTTTTGTTTGAAATGTTTATCGACGAGCAATTTACTTATTTGGCAATTTATCCTATTTGTTTGATGTTACAGAGAGATGGGCGAGGAGGTCAAAACCGGTGTATTAGTTCCTGAGTCGGTTTTGAAGAAGCAGAAGAGGGCCGATGAATGGGCCCTTGCAAAGGTAAACGAGCTTGCATTAGCAAAGACGAAGAAAGTTGCCGACAGAAAGTTGATATGCAAAAAAGCAAGGCAGTATGCTGAGGAGTATGAAAAACAGGTTAGTCGAGTTATTTTGTTTAAGATTCAAATTGAATTATCTTCTTTTATTTATTGACTGAACCGTTTGTTCACATTGTTGTTCAGGCGAAGGAGTTGATTGATTTGAAGCGTGAAGCAAGATTGAAGGGTGGCTTTTACGTAAACCCAGAAGCAAAACTTTTGTTCATTATCAGAATCCGTGGGTAAGGATATATGTTTGTTAATTGATTGTGTGAAGCCCAATGTTTGAATATATTTATATGTCGCTCATGATTCCGTTTTTAACCATTCAGTATTAACGCCATGCACCCGACAACCAAGAAAATCTTGCAGCTTCTGAGACTACGACAGGTAAATCGACTTTTAACCTTTCAGTTTTAATCCCCCACGCTTATTAATAACTAATTACGGATTTTAATTTTGTGTATTTGTAGATATTTAATGGGGTCTTTTTGAAAGTTAACAAAGCAACAATGAACATGCTTCACAGAGTCGAGCCTTATGTTACTTACGGGTAAGCCACTCCTTACACGTGAAACATATTTAGTTTTCGCAGATTGAGAATTTGATCTGATTCGTCTTTTCAAATTTTCTGCACAAAATTATCAGGTACCCCAACCTTAAAAGTGTCAAGGAGTTGATCTACAAGAGGGGTTACGGAAAAGTCAACAAGCAGAGAATCCCTTTGACCGACAATTCTGTCGTCGAGCAGGTTAATTTATAAACTAGGTTAAAATATTGTAAGATGGTTGCGATTTCCAATATTTTGTTTTAAATCTGTACTTTTCGTGTTTTGATAGGTGTTGGGCAAGCATGAAATAATTTGCATGGAAGACCTCATACATGAAATCTTGACTGTGGGACCCCATTTCAAGGAAGCAAACAACTTTCTATGGCCATTCCAATTGAAGGCGCCGTTGGGTGGATTGAAGAAGAAGAGGAACCATTACGTTGAAGGTGGTGATGCTGGCAATCGCGAAGACTACATTAACGAGCTTATTCGAAGGATGAACTGATTTTCTTTTTTTTTTTTTCTTTTTTTTTTTTGTGGCAATTTTTGTTTACTGAAATGAGGTTTTTTTGGTGAAATTTTGAACGTCTAGGGTATTTAAGTCATTTTGAATATTATTTTCGTCTTTCAATTTTGGCGTTTGCTTTTGAGCTATGGATCTCGAAATAGAAACAATTGTTCAACTTCTTTTCTGAGAGATGGTTATTTAATTAAGTTGGAAAATTTATGAGATTACAATGTAGTCAAATTTCATTTTTCCATTAATTCCTGTTTCAACTTTTCTAGTCTAGTCTCTACTGTAAAGTTTAATATTTAGCGTTGTTAATTGCGTCTTAATTTTATTCCTACAATCAATAATAACTATATTAATCAAAGAGACAAATAATAGTAATTTAAATAATTTTTAAAAATGTTTAATTTACTCATCTTAAAAATATTAATCAATTTACATTTTTGGATATAGTTTCAAATCAGTTAATTAAGGCCTAACTAAATCCTAAAATGTAACTAGATTAATATTACTCTAACATTTGCAATTACTAATTACAACTTAATTAAAGCACATACCAATTAAATAAAAATAAGCAAGAGAAATTGTTGGTATAAATAACACCCATCGCTGGTCTTTTTCTGTAGGATTAAAACAAATAATGTAAGTTTAATTAAAAAAAAAGTTGCTCTCCATGAGGACTATTTCTATTGTCCTAATGATTTTACTGTCTGTCCTCCTTTTAGGTTAGTATTGCTTACTTATATAATTAAAAAAATATGCAATATTAAATATTTGTATATATGTGTGTGTTTAGTGGTGATTACAATTATCTGGATCTCTAATGCACTACCACTTGATTCATTTCATCAGGTGTAACATCTATTGACGATATTACCCTTATTGTATTTATTAAATCCGTACGTATTCAGATATTAGTTGGTTAAACATTTATCAATTGGACAAATATCTTGTGTAAATGCTTCTGACTTGTGATAGTAACCTATCCATAGGGACCATATATACAAGTTTTGAAAATAATTTGAAGCTATTCACAAATGAAATGCATGATACATATATAACTTTTTACCTAACAAAATGTTTAGCTATAAAAAGAACAACCAAAGTACTATTTTGTTTGCATTCCCCATTTCTATTTAAACCCCTAATTTGGTTTTCGATATATATACCCATCTTTGATGCAACACTAAATTTCATAACAATCTAATAAATTTAATTTGTTTGTTCATATATATATATATATATAGATATATATACAATGCTGATAATGAAAAGTAAAAATAAAAATGAAGTCCACCCAACATACGGCACATATCATTACTTAATCAGTGTTTAATTTTCTTTTCTTTTCCACTCAAACAACCTATCTCAAATAATTAAAAATGGCAAATAAAATTAAATCAATAATTGCTCAAAAAAAGAAGATTGATATATACATAAAACTGATTGCATGTTCTTGAAGAAATAATAATTAATTTAAAGCCCTGATGCATGCACATGTAAATCACATTCTCTCTACCCTTCAAACACTTGTAACAAAAACCACACACCAAAAATGCAGATCAGCAAAAAAAAAAAAAAGTTATTGAATTAAATTTATGGAATAAGATTGATAAATTAAAATCTCATCAATCATACAAAATAAAGCCCTAATAACGAAGCAACATTTAAATAACTGAAAAAGAAAAAAAAAAGGTTAGAATGGGCATTAATTATTAATTATTATGAATACAAGACCAATTGCCTGGAGCACTTTGTGCAGACAAATTTCTTCTTGACGACAAAGCCGACGGGGAAGAAGCAGAGCTTCCAGCGGCGCTCGACAACCACCGCCGCCACCTTTCCGCCGCAATAGGGGCAGCTCCCGTTCGCATCTTCTCTCCCCAGCTCTCTCTCCTTCTCACCACCAATCATATTATTTTCTCACGTTTAATTTATTTATTACCCTTTTCCTTCTTCGTATTTGGTGTTCTCTTGTAATTACATGTGTGATGTGTGTGTCTCTCTTTCTCTCTCTCTCTCTCTCTCTCTCTATATATATATATATATATTATATATTTATGATAGAGAGAGAGAGAGAGAGAGAGAGAGAGAGAGAGAGAGAGAGAAAGATAAACGCGTATATGGTTTTCTGTTTTAGTGTATGCAACAGTGTGAAATAAATGTTGGGGGCTTTTGTAAATGTTTAGTAAATCGTTTTGGATTGTTTCACATTCATTTCTGGTTGTTACTTATTACAACAATTTTTTAGTACTATGATGTAATTTTTTTGTTAAAGCGACGTCACTTCAACGCAGCCGATATTTATTCAGCTACTTAGAAAAAGTTGGAATTGCACACATCCGAAAATAAAGAAGCAAGTCATCAATATAAATTAATCAAGTTTATAATTTTTTATTTATTTTATAATTAATAATCTAATTCGTAATAGAGTGAATCTTATTCAGGCCCAAAATAAAAATTGCCTTCTTCAGAATATAGAATTTAGCAATTGGGCCATTAAAATATAGGCCCAATAAATAATTTTTAATTTGGTTTTCTTTCATTGATAATTTAGGCGCGAAATGGCTGCCGTTAGTTAACGGTGAAATAACAGAGAAGCATAAGTAAATAAATAAGAAATGAATCCGTTTGATAACGATCAAATGACGTCACTAAGAATCATACAAAACCAGGCGCCTGGAATCTGAAGCAAATTGGGAGAAAGCAAAATCTCCACCGGGTGCTGACGTCGACGGCATAAACCTTTCCGCCGCAGTAGGGGCACGATCCCGTCGCCCGCTGCCGTCCGACCCCCAATAAACACATACTTTCACTTCCCACTACGTGTTTTTTTTTTTTTGTTAGAAATTTCCGGTTAGTTGTTAATTTCTGGGTTAATTGAATCGATAGTAATATTATGATCTCGTTAGTTTCTGGGTGGAAATTGCAACCGACTCTCCTATTTTCGGCTAATTCGATCCGAATTTGTTCAATTTGGAATAATATTTTTTATTCCAAATTCTAAATTCGAAAACCCGATTCCGATTTTTTCGAAGTCGATTTGAATATGATCCAATTTTGTTTCAAAAATTACAATTACAATATCAACAATATTATGCATTTTATTTGTTAGGACAATAAAAAAAATTGGAATTTTCCAAATTCGGCCAATTCCAGCCCGAACAATTCTGATTTTGGATCGATTTTTTTGTTCCAATTTATGAAACCCGGTTTTCAAGATCCAAATTGGAATGAGTTTTTAATTTCGAAAAAAAAAAGATCCAAAAGTGTTTATTACGATCCGATCCGCCGGATTTTCACGACGTGAATGAATTTTGTTACTTGTCCAAATCCTGAAAAATCTTTCAACTATTTCCTGTTTCTGTAGTTGAAAAACTATTGTAAAGCATAATGTAAATACTTGGGTGTGGAAAACAAGCCATGCATAAAGAAATATATTACAAGGATTATTCATTACAAAATTTCAACCTAGGAAAGAAAGATGGATCCTTTTGGGAAGACAAGTGCCCATAAATCCATCCTCTGCACAACTTATCTCATTTTCCCCATCCAAACAGAGCCTTATTACACTAACCACACCCAACCCTAATATACTCCTTTGAAAAACATCTCTCACCCATTCATCAAACAATAAGCTATCCCCATAATACAAACCACCTCCTAATTGCACTATTTTCTCTAACACAATCTCCTCAACATTAAAACTACTAATTACATTTTTACCCCCCACAGCCTCCTCAAAAGATCTCCTCAACTTCGACAACAAAACCATCTCTCTTGCATCCGAATTCATGTTATCCGGTTCGATCATCGTTTCACGTGTCAAATCACTCGAGACGGGGCTGACATCTCCCGTTTTTTCCCCGCCTTCATCTTCTTCTTCTTCGGCTTTCATGTTAAGGTCGAGCAAATTTGAGCTTCTGAATTCTCTCTTCCCACACACCGAAGAAACCTCTTCCATTTCGACGCTCTTACGACTCGTCTTCCAATTACTCGGCAAACGATACTTGCAATCCGCTTTGCGCTTGATTCCACTACAAGGTGCGGATTCATAATTCACAACCAGTTTCATCCGGATTACTGAGCTTGCGTAATTCTCATGCGTCGATGTGCGATAAGCATGCATGGAATTTCCGAGTGTGAGTGAAATTTTGTCTTCATCCAAATTTGGTTGATATTCGGGATTAATACCATTGCCAAAACTGAACCCGTTATGGCACGACCGCTCGCTTCTCAATCGAGGGGCAAAACCGTAATTTTGATTATTAGCTGGAAATGCATCTCTGTCACTGCAAAAAACAATGTAAGAAACTAAGAATACAGACAAATGAGTAAGCAAAAGTGAAAACTCATCATCCCATTTTTGGAGCCAAGAATTTTCAAATTTTATTTAATTAATTAAATAAATAATTAAACTAACCTTGTATTATTATTAAGGCTCAACCCTAATCCAGCACCTGACGGAACAAACACAGTTTGAAGATCCCATTGAATATCGAGAGAGGGTTTCTTCATCTGGCATTTTATATATGTCTGGTAATTTGCAGTAGCCATTAAACAAACCTTTAAATTTGAGCTCTTTCCGTACCAAGAACCCAGCTTTCCAATCTCCGCAATTAAATAATTAACGGAATATTCTTCTCCGCCGTTACCTCTCTGATCAACCGTCCATTTTAGATCACCAATGTAAACAATAACCATCACTCTCCGGCCACCACCTAATGACGACGCAGCAGCAGCGGAAAAAGATTCCACCTTCTTTCTTACGTCAGCAACGTTCATATCCACCTCATCTCTGTTCATGAATTTGAGAAGCAGCGACGAAAACTGGAAGTTGATGACGTGTGCTGACGCCACCTCATCTGGGAGATCTCTTCTCTCAGACATTTTATCGAACAGTTCCGCGGCAAGATTATCGGCCGCCATTGATGTTGCTGAATCCTCACCAACTATGACGATGTTTCGGCTTCTCTTCTTCCCCATCAGAACCTCCAGAACCAAACCCATGTCTTGTTTCAGAGAGGGTTTCTGAGGAGGAAAGAGAAGAGGGTTTTCGGTTGAAGGGTAAGATAGTAAATTGGTTTTGACACAAGTGCTGGAAAAACCAGCCTCCCTCATAACCCTACTCACACTAGGGTCATCAAGTATGGACAAAACCAGCTGCACCAGCTCGATTTTAACGGCGGCGAGAGGGTGGTTCTGCTGATGCTCGACGCAGTCTCTCCTGTTGAGAGCCTGAGCTCTCTTGAGGGCGGCGACGAGGGCGTTGGAGAGAGACGGCGGCGCGTGGTGGTGGTGGAGGAGATGGGCGGCGGGGGAAGCAGGAAGTCGGTTGAGGGCGACGTTGAAGCAAAGCTCAAGTGCTCGGCATTGAAGAGGTTGTTGAAAATGGTGGGGCTGAGATTTGAGGCAGGCACTTCTGAGAAGCGATGACGATGATGATGTCATTAGCAGGGTGGCGGCGACATGGAGAGGAGTCACCTGAGCGTGGCGGCGCCGCCTGGCAAGGATGAGGGAGTGCTTCAGCGCGGAAGCTGCCTCCTCTGAGAGCGTCTGCGGCGCTGCGCAATTAGCTCCTACACGCATAACTTAGCTCAAACCCCACCCCCAAACACCCCCCCTGAATTTCACAACACAGATTATTATTTCTCACTCAAGATTCAAGAACACCCTCCAAAACTGATTTTTACTTTGGTGTGTGTGTAATGTGTGTGTGTGTGTGTGTGTGTGTGTGTGTGTGTGTGTTAAGATTGTGAGTTCAAGAAGTTGACGTTGTGTTTTTTGAAATGGTGTAATGTAAATAAATAGGGAACTCTTTTGGGGTTTAATTATGAAGTAATTAATTAAATTTGAGTATGTTTAATTATGTGTATGATCTAGGGTTCGAATATTTGGTATTGATAATATTATCTGAAAAATAATTATTTGAAGTAGTGATGATTGTGTTGTGTACTTTATTTTTTTTGAACATGATCAGCCTTTGAATGAGAGACATAGGAACCAGAAATTCAAATAAAGTTGTAAAAGAGAAAAAGGTGGAAAATTATTCCAACATGTATATGTAAAAAGAGTAATTAATTGATTAATTAATTGATAATATCATATATTTGCTTTCCTTTTTCATGTTTGTCATTTGTTGTAATTTGCATGCAAATGTGTGCAGACTCCTTTTCCCTTTATTTATTTTGTTTCTTTTCACATTTATTAGACAAAAATAAAGCAACTCTCTCTCTCTCTCTCTCTCTCTCTCTCTCTCTCTCTCTCTCTCTCTCTCTCTCTCTCTCTCTCTCTCTCTCTCTCTCTCTCTCTCTCAAAAGATTAATTTAATCTACATTAGATCTTGACTGGTCTATATAATCGAAGTAATTATTCGAAAAGATTTAATGTAATAAAGTTGAGGAGGAAATCAGTTTTTCTTCGATAAGATAATGTCTGTGATTCTAATTATTACTACAACTTTTAATCCAAAGTCATAAATAGCGTCTACATATATTAGTGTATGTCTATATCTCTTGTTAGAGATTGGAGTAATTTTAAAAATTGAAACATTGAAATATTTAGCTCGCTCTACTTACAAGAAAAGTATCATATATTTTTTTTTTATGTATTTGAAAGATGATCACTTTAATTTCTTCTCTTTTTAATATGCAATCTTTCGGAGTTTTCAAATTCATTGTGCCCGACGAACGAATTATATTTAAAGCCTCTTTAATCTTGAATAAAAGGCCTCTTTGATTTAATTTAATCATTTTTCCAAATATATTATTGGTTAAATGTATTATTTAATATTAATTAATATCTCCAAATAAAATGTATAAATGATGATTATTAATTAATATTATTGTGAGAAATAAAGTTTCTTGGTACTGAAAACAAAGAGGGATGTTTCATATGATGTGTGATTAAAGGTGGGAGATGTGCGACCAGAAAGTGGAAAAAGTGATTAAATTAAATTCATAAAATAAAAATAATAAATAAAAAAATGAAAAAGAAAAGAAAAAAAAAGATGGACTAGTGTTTTAATATCATGCTTCTTCCTCCTTTAATAATAATAATAATAATAATTGATGAATTAATTTGAAATTATGCATGCAAAAAGATGACATTATCTTTATGGCCCCCATAATTACTGGTATCTCTCTTTCTACTCCAGATCCCTATAAATATGTATACACTCACACCCTACTTTTCCAATTCATTCTTTTTATTACATCACCACTTTTCTCTTTTGTCTTGAATTGATCACTACTTTTTATTTAATTTTCCTTTTCTTTTCCTAACTTAAATTGAGCAATTATTTAGGTTAATAAAAAAAAAAACACTGTTAACTTTCCCTTTAAGCACAATCATATATTTTAATAATTAATAATATTAATAGAATAAATTTGTCATATAATAAACCAAGTGAGAAAGAGGTGCAGGGGTTGGAAAATGGGAAAGGAGAAGTATTAGTTGATATTTGATTTGAGGGTTTATTCTTCCATTCCACCAAACAAGGGAATGTTGGATAATTCCAAAACGAAACAATCCAATTTACCTAATTATTAAATTCATTATATTCTATTAAATCTGCCACAATATATATTTAAATATTTAAAATTTGATAATTTAATTAAAATAGAAGAAAACGCATGCCTATCAAATATCAATCATGCTGACAATTTTGTGCTCTTTATCGATCACTATATTCTTTCTTTCTTTCTTTGAGGGCTCGACTTTTCAAGCATGGATTCTCTTTGCTCCTAATCCAATTTCCCTACATCACTTCTCTCTAGATTTTATTTAGTACTAGATTCTCCATTTTTTTTTTAAATTAATTATCTTCTAAAGCCGGGTTCATTGGGTCTCAGACCCGAACCGACCCGTTTGTGGCGGGTCTGGGTCTGGGTAAATTAAATTACTACCTACATAAATTTAGTGTTCGGCCCGTTAACCAATGGGCCAAACGGTGGAACAGCCCATTTTCACGAGGGCCCATTTTCTCCAAATATGAAAACTATTATATTGCAACAATTATTGATAAGTTTAATTAGGTTTTATCTATCCTACACCCGGTGAAGGTTACACCGAGTGATTTTTTACCGTTGATCTACACATACCAATGTTGGTGTATCTGTGTTTGTGTGTATATGAATGGTAAAGTTCTACCCGGTGTATTTCACGCGGTGTAGGATCTCAAAAGCCGGTTTAATTAGGCAATTAGTCAGTAACCATACTTAATATTGCAAGTATTTTGTATTACATGTATCCATCTGCCATTCCATATTAGTTTTAGAATTCAATCACTTATTTAAAATATCTGAAGTTATAGATTGAGAAATTTATAATCACTTTTTTTTTTCAAGTAAATTACGTAAAAATATTGAAATATTACCAAATTTTCCCTTCATATTAAAGACAATAATTAATTATTATAGAGTGTCATATTTCCAAATTTTGCTTTCCTGTGACGATTGAATGGAAAAGCAGAAACATACAAGTACAGTACAGATGAATTTATTCTCCAAATTAAAAAATCCTTTGTCCCTTGTGCATAATTATATATATAGGATGAAATTCTATCCCATCCACATTTTTTGTAGTCTCACACGTAAATCTAATACTTCTCTCTAACTCAATCGTTAGTTAACTACATCGATCGAGCATAGTTACGTTATTGCTCGATCGAGCGGGGCCCACGCGGTGGCGTAGACGTAGTTATGTCCTTTCCAAGTCAGAATCATCATCTCCTCATCTTTCTTCATCCCCCAACCACTTGCATGCTCACTCAACAACACTCTAACTTCCTTAACTGTATCTTCGCCGAACGGCACGCTCGTAAATCCGTTTTTCATCGCCATTCTCCGCCACAAGTTGCCGCTCGATTCTTGCCTTTCGATTCTCCGAGCCCCTTCAAACCCTACAACGTTCTCAATCTTACGACCGATGTCTTCTTCGTAATCCAATCTCCGAGCGCTGTTCTTCGGCAAGAAAGTCTCGAGCGCGTCGAAAGGGATCAACATGTAGTTGAAGCAAGTGGTGATTCTCGACGCGAGCGATCGGTTCGATCCGCCTAGATCGCAGTCCTCGTCGACTATGGTGACTAGACAAGGGTTTAGATTTCTTATCGTTTCGAGAAAGGAATCCCTGCCGTAACTAGAAGGAATACTCCGACGAATATCGTCTTCTTCATGATCGTCGTCTTCGTCGTCGGGTAAATAGCGCAGCCAGTTCTGGCAGTTGACGACCAATGCCTCGTCGTTTCTGAGTTTCAGCGTGGAGGGATTCAGTTGCCCTAATAGTAAATTACTATCTTGCCCCGTGACTTCATGATGATGAACTACGTCGAACTGAAAAGGGACGTCTCTGTAATTTGCGAAGTTGGTCAAACGTTGACCGACTTCCTCGATCGACGCGTTGAGGAAAGGAGGGACGTTCGGCCGCCATGAAAGAACAGATATTCTCAGCGATAGTAACGGTGGCCCACCGCCGTCCTCCGCCGCCCTTTTCGCGACTGCGTCGATAAGCGTCGGCCACTGCATGCAGTGTGTGATGCTGAAATCCAGGATGTGAACCTTCGGAAACCCTCGAATCGCCTCGAGAATGGCGCTGTTCGATGCGCAGAATCCGAACCTGTGCCATGGGATTAGGTCTACGTACCCTGCAAGCTCCGTTACAGACATCAGCCGCCGTGCGCCGCCGACGGCGGCGGCGGAGTTGAAAGTCGTGGTTGGGCAAAGCCGAGAAGCCTTTGAAACGAGGGCTTTCAAGAAGTACGAAGTAAGCCTCTGGTTGGGATCGCCGGCGGAAGAAGCGACGTTGTTGAGAACCCACATGATTTGTTGGGCCAAAGTGACGTCGTTTCTTTCTAGTGCACTCGCGCAGTGGAGTAAGAGCTTCTCTATGCACGCGCCGTCGAGGTTGCTTAGGCAGCAGCCTGATAGAGCTGCGCCTGAAACGGAACGGCTCTGCGTGGCGGCGGCGGCGGAAGGGGTTGTGAAAAGATTAGGGTTTTGTACAAGAGTAATGGTCGGAGGATTCGCTCTTAGTTCTGCTTTCATTGTTATAATATTTAACTTTGATTCGGTGTGGTGAGTGGAAGAATTACTATAAGTTATAATTCCTCTCAGACTGGGGAGAAGACGAGGGCATAATCGTCCATTTTTTTGCTGAGTATATAACACAGTATTAATTGTTTGAAACAAAGAAAGACAAGATAAGGAAATATATATAGAGCACAGGGAATCAATTTCATCTTCCACGCTACTACCTAGCTAGGGTTTGTATATATAAGGGGGAGAGAGAGAGAGAGAGAGAGAGAGAGAGAGAGAGAGAGAGAGAGAGAGAGAGAGAGAGAGAGAGAGAGAGATGTAAAGTGAAAGAATGTCTTAATTAGTTAGTTAAGCAAATTTGGGATCATCATCTCTCAATCTAACACACAAAATCGAGTGAATTTGAGATTGATTGATTAGAAGATCTGGGATAATTAATTAATAAGGAAATTACAAGATCTAATGAAAAAGTTAAGAAGCTGTCTAATTAGCCGGCCGCCTTTGTCGAATTTGTCTGATGGAATGCCTAATACGACAATATACGTGTTTAGATTGTAATTATAATTTAATTTGGATTTTTTAGTGAGGTGGGTAATTCATGCATTAATTTGATTGGTACCTCACATTCCCATCTTTGTTTTCCATGGAATTGTTTTTCAAGACAACTCGCCCTCTTGCAAACCATTACATACATCTTATATATATATATATATATATATATATGCTATGTGTATATATATATACTTGAAACTTCTCTGCATGTGACACCCCTATTGCATTCCTATAAAACAACAACAAAAAGAAAAGGGAAAGAAAGACCACTTGTATTGCAATTTGCATGCAAGCTAAGCCCACTGCCATTATGGTGGTAATAATTGGTTGGAATTTTTATTGTCAAAATAAGATTAAATAATCTCATGAAACCTAACTGTATTATTGTACATTCGACGATCCAATAACAAAAATGTCTAGAATGCAAGATAAGACATGATAGTATATTATTTGCGGATCGATCCTGTAAATTATTGGAGATATCAAACATCAAATAAAGTTCCATTATTTAGTTATTAATCATGGTTAATTTTCTCAACCAAAGGAGGCCTTAGTGGGATCTTAGTGAGAGAAAGGAGAGAAGAGAGAAGTTGCGTATTCAAACTGTGAATAGAGTTGAGAGGAAAGAGTACTATAAAAGAATGCACGTCAACGATTAAATGAAATAATTTGTACGGTCAAAATCAAGATTTTTTGCTGGTTTGGGTTTAAGTGAATTGGACACAATTCTTGGAGTTGGGATGCCGACAATCATTAAGTTTGGGCCCAATTATAAAAATCATTAATAGGCCCAAAACTTATGAGTTTACGTGGCAAACATTCATTGGTTGTAGCATACTTTAAGCTACTAGATTGCTAGTTGCGTCCAATTAATTCTTATTGCATAAAAGACCCTTTAATGTGCTAATATTAATTTTTTTTTTGTGTGTGAAAAAATGAGCATCGTATCTAACTTGCCAGATCTTGAAATTGATTCTGGGATTTCATTTGACCAATTGAGCCAATCACTAATTGGTACATGTGTTATACATTATAAATAGCCATTAAATTTTGTCAAAAAATAATTACATTTTTTTCGTTCTGTATATACAACTAGGAAATATATTTGAATTTAAATAAAACAAATTGCCATGTTACGACAGCTTCAACATGCAATTTTTGTCTTATTAATATCAATTATAGCATTAAAAAAATGTAATTTCTGTCCATTTCCCTTTAACCAATGAATTGTTGGGGGCACCTGTAATTAGGTCACAAATTTAAAAGTAGGAGATGAATTTATTTGCCTGGCATTAGCAACATCTGTAATTCGGCACGTGATCAAAACTTTGGTGCAAGAAGATCAACGGCTATTAATTATTCCATGTGCCGCTTATCACAATTGATTCAATTTAACTTTTAAGGCCAAAAAACAGTTGCATAAAAGTTTTTGGAATTATGACTTTAAATCAATATATTGACTTAAATGTTCAATTAATAATTGGGTATTATGATTTTTGCTTTTTAGTACTAAATAATAATGAATCATACGTCAAAATGAATGGGCCCCACATTACAACCGCAAGCACCATTGATTAAAGCCGTTTTTCAGTCCCTCACGTGCTACAGTAAACTATTACATTTTTTTTTAATTAATAATTAATAGTAATAAAATAATAACAACTACAATCCCCACGTGTTAGAATAAACTGTTAGTACAAAGCAGCACAATTCTCTCACAAAATACACAACACACTGAACAGATGGAAATTAGTAGTGATGAAAATAGAAATAATTGGGAAACAAATATGTTTCTCCAATTTGAGGAATTCGATGCTCTAGGTACGCCTACAATTTTTTTTTTTTTTTTTTTGAGTATATATAAGAATATATATATAGCATGAAATATACATGTGGTTGTAGTTATTTTGAGTACGAGTCGAGCTCGCCTGAAGGAACTCATGTATCGTCGGCATCGAAAAACATAGCCTCTGAGAGGAAGAGGAGGAAGAAGCTCAATGAGACGCTTTATGCACTAAGATCAGTCGTACCTAACATTACTAAGGTGCTTTAATTATTTCAATTTTTTCAAGTTTATAAATTGATAATAGATGGGATTAAATTGAGGATTAAATTGAGAATTAAATTCAGGATTAAATTGATTGCAGATGGATAAGGCATCAACTGTGAGAGATGCCATTGAGTACATCAAGTTACTCCAAGATGAAGAGAGGATTATCCAGTCTCAAATTTCAGAAATGGAATCAATTATTAGCATGTCGTCATTATTACCTAATAATAATAATAATAATAATATTAATAACATTGAAAATGATGATCAAGAGGCTGAAACATACTTCTGTATGCCAAAAAAGAGGGCAAGAATGGAGTTTTCTGATGAGTCAAACCCTATTGAAGTTCTTGAGGTATGGTATTCATTTTTATTTCATTTATTTATTTATCATAATTATGTCTTTATCAGTCGTAATCGAAGATACTCTGTTTGTTTTAAATTATTTGTCATTTTAAAGATTCTATAAACGAAGAAAAAATAGTTTGAAATTAAACGAGGGAGTAATTAGATTTTAATTGCGAATTGAGGTCTGCAAATCACGACGTACGTGGTCCAATTTAACCCAACCAAATATGTGGTTTTTTAGTATACTATATATTATGATAATTTGATTAGTTTATTGAATTTTTGTACTGTTAATTATCAACAGTTGTGAATACTTAATCTGATACTTTGCACACACACATGGCATTATAATTAATAATACAGTATCCAGTAACTGTTTGATTTAAAAAAAAAAAAAAAAAAAAAAATTGGGTATTTTTTTGAAGTATGATTGGTCATTAATTAAATTATATCTGAGAAAAATAATTAAAAAATAATAAATTGAAATGGCAGTTGAGTATATCCAGCATGGGAGAGAAGAATGTAATGGTGAGCTTGACATGCAGTAACAGAAGAGATACAATTATTAAGTTGTGTGAGGCTTTTGAATCTTTGAACCTCAAAATCATCACTTCAACTATTAATCATTTCTCTGGAAAGCTTTTCAAGACTGTTTTTATTCAGGTACTTCTTTATTTCATTTTTTTTTATATATAAATAATTTAATTAATATTATGGTACCTCTTGTTTAATTGGAAATATATGTTATAATTGATTAAGTTGTTCGATTTTATTTCATGTTTGGTTAGTTATATATATTTTTTTACGTATTGGGGGATTGTGTGGTGGCTATGATGCACAAAAACTTTGATAAACCCGAGTTTTCATGTTTTGGAAATTGAGACGCCGTTGTGACACCTGTCCGAAATATTTTGGGGCCGTTTTGTAAATACTTAAAAAATTAGGACTTTTCTGAAAATATTCCACCCCAAAAAATTCAAAGCTCGTTTTTGTTTAATTTTCTTTTAGTTAATAGATTAATTATACTATATTGTTTCAATTATTATTTTTTATTTTTTGTTCCTTCAGAGTGATGAAGAGGAGAAAGATGTTTTAAGAGTAAATATAGAAGCTGCCATAGCTGCACTGAATAATCCACACAGCCCCATTAGTTCATAAATAACACCATTTCACATTTAATTATTTTTTATTTTAATTATTTCGTCCTCTTAATTTATTTTTTTTATTTTGATGCAAAGACCAGCATGTAACTGTTTTTTGTTTCTAAAATCAAATTCAGTCATACATTTGCTGTTAGAAATAAAACACACAATGAACAGGACAAGAAAGTAACAAATATATATAAATTAAAAGACATCATTTATCGAATATAAAAAAATATATAACCTGAATTAAACTGAAAAAGGATACTACAAAAAGATTAATGAATATAAGTAAAGTAGAGCAAAAAAAAAAAGTATTCGTTGCTATTTCTAGTCAACAACTAACTAGTCTTCATTCCTGGGAATTTGATATCTATTGTAAGAGAAGAAGAATAAATAAATAAATAAATTGCTGTGGTTTTTCGATCATCCTAACTGCTCGTCATCGGGTGAATTCGGGGTCCTCACAAATCTACCCTGCACCATCAATCAGCATATTATTATTTTAGGCCTCGTTCGATTGTCAATCAACGTTAATTAAGTTCTATAGACTAAATAGTACAGACTAGTAAAAAATTGGTTCACAATATCGGTACTTACTCAAGATTGGTACAAAAGACAATTTTATCTCTTAAACAACATCTTGATTTTGTTAAAATAAGAGATTTTATTGACAAATAGTATATAATACCAAAATGTAACATATTTAATCTAAAAAATCGAACAAGACATAAAAAAAAATACATAATAATAAATTTCTTTAATTTATTTATACAAATTTAAAATTCTAAACTTTTATTTGAAATTACTTCAAACGCACCATCAAATTTTGCATTTGTTTCTTTGGAATTTATTTAATTACTGTGAATTTTAAATTTTAATTTATTTTGGTTAATTTGTGTAGAGAAGAAATACCTTCATTCTGGGGCGTTGATCAGCTTTGACTTTTCTGACTTGGTACCTGATCTTCTTGGAGAAGAGACGCGTACGCCGCTTTTCCTTGTAGCGTAGCACTATAGCACCCCTCGATGCCACGTCATCAGGGAATAATTCTATCTGCGCCAACCGAGCCTACATCCAACCAATCATATCACCAGCATATTCATCATTATTCTACATTCCAAACACTTGTTTCCCCTCATAACAAACAAAATAATTTACCTACATTAAATTCCTTATTACTATATAGTTTTATTTAATTAATATTCCAACTATTATTATTACTCACTATATAATTATATACCAAGACAATAGCCGCCATTTAAAATCTAATAGTACTAGTAAATTAAATGTCAATGCCTCCCTAAACTCAACCGGCTTCAATTTATTTAATATACCTATAATATACATACAAAAATTATAATAGAAAATTCACTAAATATAATACTATTTTTCCATATCCATGCATTGGAACAAATATATTATGTTTCTTGGAAAAATCAAACTTTAACATGTTTCTTAAAAATTCCTTAAACCCAAATAAATAAATAAGAACCATGCATTATTTGCAGGCCGTGAATTTTCAAACCAATAAAATAGTAATAAAAAGAAAAATTCGAACTTGAACCAAAGTCCAAAAGAAAAGCCCAACTTGTAATAATGCATTCAATTCTGATTACGTGGCATGCCATCAAGAACAACAATTAACCGTATTAACCGAATTGAAAATACTTGGAAAACCCAAGTTGAATTTTCACATTTTTAGTAGGGTTTAGATAGATAACATACTTGGACATCTTTCCCGGCGGATTTTTCTCCCGGAGATTCGCCGGAAAACGGCGAACCCTTATCGGACCATGCGTTCAAAACGCTGTCGTAGTTGAGTTTCAGAAGCAACCCTGCACTTGGTTGCGGAACAGATTCCTCGCTAGAAACCGCATTCTCTTTGCCCACCGAATTCTCCGGATTCTTGTTTTTCTTCTTCTTCTCCGTCAACGGAACTTTCGAAGGAATCTTTTCAGTAGCATCGCCGCCAACATTTACGCTAGGAAACCTCCACCAATCCCCTTCATCTACATTCCTCATCGCCTTTATTTCCCTTCTCACTCCGTGTCCGAAATCGAAACCTAGGCCCACCGGATAGCCGTAACAACAAGTGTCCGTTTGCGTATCGGTATATCCATTCGAATCCCCGTTTTCCATGCTCAAATTCCCCATTATACTATCAATACCTTCCTCGATTTCCTCATCCAGCATCGACTCCGCATCGAAATCTTCTTGAAAGTCGTCGCAAATTTCAGAGGAAATTTGGCACGGCTTTGCGAACGGACTCGACACTTTCGGCTCGATAGGGAAATTGGGTCTTTCTAATACCGGAGGGCACTGCAACAAGTACCCCGGGTTATTTATTGCTTGGAAAGGCATGAACAAGTCCGCGGGCTCGTATAGAAACGGGCTTTGCGGGTTTTTGGTGAATTTGCAGGGCTTAGTGAGGTGTTTGGTTGGGAAAATCTTGGGGTGGGCTGTGGAAAGAATGGCTGCAGCTTCATTGTAGGTTTGGTTGGGCCTTTTTCGTCTGGTTCGGGCTTTTCGAGTCGAGATTGCTATCGGGGAGCTGTTCGATTCGGAGAGAGTTGAAGATGGAGAAGATGAATATGAAGTCCAAGAAGTTGAAGGGGATTTAATCAGGTCAAGGTCTAATCTGTAAGCCCTCCCACCTCCACTCAAACAAGATGACATTTTTAACAGTAGATACTGAAAATCGAAGCAAAATTCAATAGGTCAATTTTGAATTGAAGAACCTAGGATTCATTGATTGGTCAAAGGAATTGAGGATTGGTGTTGTGAGGTTTGAAAAGGGGGGGAATAAGTATTATAAGAACCCTAAACCCTAGAAAAAGGTACACTTTTGAATCAGTGAAAATGTTGGAGTAATATAAAAAATGGTAAAAAGCCAAAACAAAACCCCCCACACAAAAAGGCAGGAGGGGGTTAGTAGATTTGCCTTGAAATTACCAACAACAACATTAAAGAAAGTGTCTTTCTAGAATGTTAAAGATTGGATTTTTATTACAAAGAAAGTAATCCCAGAAATTTGTAGAATTGAAACTAGTAGATCCAACGCAGAGAAGAGAGAAGGAAAAAAATCAGAGGAATAAGATTTATGGAGAGATGTGGTGGTGATGTGTGAAATATCTAGAGAGAGAGAAATGGACAAATGGAGGATGATTATGGTAAGCAGCAGCATGTTGGGCTCTACTACAGCTAGTCACGGGAAGGTTAGAATCAGCTGCTGCTATTTTCTGCTCTCTCTCTCTCTCTATCAGTCTTTCTCTCTCTAGGACGGAGGGTGTGGAGATCAGAACAGAGGAAGAGACAATGGTTGGCTTCTGCAAATTGTTGTTAGGTGGACCACATTCTCTCTCTCTCTCTCTCTTCTCTTTCTCTCTCTATATTTGCACTTTTAGCAGTGGAAAAATTAATTAATTAAGATTACTGCTATAATTACGAAAAGGCCCTTCACTTGTTTAATTCCTTTGGGCTTTTGACGTTTGCTTATATTTTAATATTTAAACGTGATTCATGCTCACACTATTGGGCCTCGAAATTGCTCTTTTTAATTACAATAAATAAATTACAGTTTATTGACTAAGGTTTGACTTTATTAGTAAATTACTTAAATATATATATATTCGTAAGAGTTAATTATTATTTAATTTAAACCAATTTAAATATCTGACGAAGATGTTTTAGGCAACTTATTGCAAATTCAAAGTTATTATTTTGATGGTTTATCTGAAAAAATATAATTGTATTGGTGTTGGAGATTTTAGGGCTGACGTGGACTGCCATTTATTGGTTGCTAGATTTTCATGTGATTCATCATCTATTACAAGGGAGGTGAGTTTTGGAAGCAATAGAACAAGTGCAATCATTCATATTTATTATTATTTTTTATTATTTTCTTAAGGATGAGACCATGATTTTTATTATTATTTTAAATATATTAAAATTTAAATTAAAACAATTAAAATTGCATGCAGAGGATTTGGAAACATATATATCTTCATCCTGTCAGGGTTAAGGTTCCTATGTCTAAGATTTTTTTCAAAATATCTCAAACCCTTCATATATTTTCATTATAATTTTTTAATTTTAATTCTGATAAATATATTATTTATTTATTATACATTTTAATTTTAATATATATAGAGAGAGAGAGACTATACCTAACGTTTAGAGACTCTAAGTTTCCCCATTTAAGTAAATTAATAAACAAAATTACATTTGTGTTTTTGTCAATGGAATATTTATTTTTGTTGTTGAAAATAAAAAAATAAAAAAATAAACCAAATAAAAATAACAAATAAAAATTCCCTAGGTGAGACATATATTAAAAAATGAAGATAATACAAATGAAACTCTACCAAAAATTTAATGTACAAAACCGGCTATAATCGGGTTATAAAATGAAATAATTTTTGAACTAATACATAAAATTAATTTTAATAGCTATAATCTTGTTTATGTAATAATATTATAAGGTGAAGAATGAATGTGGGAAATATAAATGTGGATCTAATATTGGCCACAAAAGTTTATTTAAATTTTAATTAAATTACCTTATCCTATAGAGAATGGGGTTCAAGTATTTTGTAGCCTTCGATTTTGGATAGCCTTCAAAATTGTACAAAGATCCCCATAATACATGTCTGTCACATATTCATACACCCATTAAAAAAAATAAGAGGCTACATTTATTTATTCAACTTTTGTATGTAAATTAAATAATATACTTTTTTTTTTAATTATAATTATTTTCAAGATGATTATGAATCAAATAGTGATTGATGTTCTCATGCAGCAAACCAACGTACCAAATGCCTTATATGTAAAATGCAGGATTTTGCAAGATTCTAAGTACTAAAAAAAATAAAGTGTACTTTTTAATTATAAAATAACATACATTATATATATTTATATATATATATATATATATATATATATATATATATATAAACTGCTGCCCTTAAAGATCCCTAAAGGGCACTTGCAAATCAGATCCCCTCCCAATGTTTTTTATTTTTATTTTATTTAAAATTGTAAGATTTATGTAAGATAAATCAAAGATTTAGGGACCATTTGATATTCCCCTACTCTGAAAATTCAGGGCATTTTATCTTTTGAGCCACAGGGAGTTTTCTTTTCTTTTAATTTTTTTTTTCAAAACAGAGCCACAGTGATTTTATTAATATTTTATCTTCTTTTATATATAATTATTAATTTAGATTAATTTATTAAAAATATATATATGTTATATACATACAGTCACGTAATATTTTTCATCTAAAGATGGGAAGCAATTACACTATTTTCATTGTAGTCAAGCTCCAACCGTTGGATCTGAATAATATTCAATCCTGTGGTCTCTAATTAATGCATAGTGTTTTTGTTTCTTATTCTTTCTAATTTCCTTTTTATTTTGTGAATTTTCAAATAAAATAATGGGCTTTTTATAATTACACTAGATCCAAATATGGCCCAATATGGCAAAACAAAACCATCAAAACAAACGAGTCGGGCTAGGCCCAAATAAACTTCTTCTTTTTAGTCCGAATCGGAAATAAAAGGCCCAAATATAATCCGGTTTTTTTTTTTTTTTTTTTTTAATATATAGTTAATATTTATACCGCATAATATATTAAAAGGGATGTGATAAATGTCGTTCGAGCTTTAACAATATCGTTACCACTTCAAACACGATTTTGATCATTTTTAATTCCAAATTTTGCAAAACCCGAAAAATAGAATTTGTCGTACTCTGAGTAAGTTTTCTAATCCAACTTGAATCACCAATTTTTTATGTCGGACAAGAAAGATATACATTAATTTATGGATACTGCCCACAACTTTGATATATTGAGATGTCTAAAATTCAAAATGTGACTCATTCATGCATAACTTTGTCACACGACATCCAATCTAGCAAATTTAAGTTGGATTAGAAAGCTAACCCAAAGGACTACAGTTTCGTGTTTTGAATTTTGCCAAAATCAAAATAAAACTATATCAAAATCAGGTTGTAAGTCAAAACGACAATAACAAAATTGAAACGACATTTAACATTTTAAGTTAAAATGAAAATAAAATAATGTTATCTAAACCTGGTGTAATAAAACAGTATTTGGTGTGAGAGGTGAAGCATCTCAATCGCCTTGACAGCGACCCCACCGTAACTAACTAACTATTGTCATAATTAGTAAATCAATTCAATTAAATATTATTACTTTCTGACAAATCATGCCAACTCAACAAACAATACTAACACTCTAAATAATGTGTCAAAAAAACACTCTAAATAATTATATATATATATAATTACATATACGATATATATTTATTTATTTATTCTTAAAATCAAAACATATTTATTAGCTTTTTAAATATATATGTGTGTAAATTTATATCATCACTTATTACTAATCCTAGTAGTTTTCAAATATATATGCAGAATTAATTTTATTTTTACTAGCAAATCAGGAAATTTGTCTCCGTATCAGGGACAATTGTGTCATTTAACAGGTTTTGTGTGAGATCTACGAATAATCAATGCTTGGTGTGTATTGGCGGCATTAGCTTGAAATTGGGTGTGGAATGTTTGTTGAGTTGACCAAATTAGTGCTCGGCAGGTGGGATCAAAATTCCACCATTTATTTACTCTTTAAAATTAAATTTATTATAAAAGACCAGTTACATGTTTATGTTTTTCTTTATTTTAAAATTCAAACTTCATTTAACTATTTATTCATATATTATTATTAATTTATTATATATTTTTTTATTATTTAAAAAACCAAATAAAATTTGCTCAATTTGTGTTGGCATGGTCCAAATAATTATAATAAATTAAGTTAAGTGGCATAACTCCCACATGCAATGTTCCTAACAAAATATCATTTGATTTCAAATAATACTATGGTCCACTCTAATGCACTTATCAATTCGTGACGTTTAACATAATAACGTGTGATTTTAACTAAGAGTTGGTAAAATTATTTTGCTTAGAAAGACCCTACATTTAATATACAAAATAAGATTAATTTTCTATGATGATTATTAAGTAGTAATATACTTGAGAATTGAGATTATCAACTAGGGACATAATTTAGTTTATCAATCGGGCCTAGAAATATTGGGCTTTTCCTTAACTTGTTCTGTCTTTTAGCTCATAACTGATTAGGGTCAGGTATGGGTTGGTTTTATCCGTCAACCGATCCACTTCTGACCCATTTTTTTTATGGCTGATAATCGATAATTAGCCGACCCATATAGTCGGATTGATAATTTTAACCGATCCATTTATAAAATGAGTCAGTCGGTGGTTTTCAGTTTACTCATAAGTCCGTTGGTCGATAATTTCTCGACCAACCGACTTTTAATTTTTTATTTTTTTAAATAAATCTTTAAATATAAATTTTATTTTTAAAAGTTAAAATAATATATGAAAGAAGGCAAAACTCAAAAACTAAATATTATTTATTTTTATTGAATAAGTGAAAAGAAAAAAGCTTATAAATATTTATATCAGTCCCAATAAAATAAAATGAAACTTGAAGGGCATGAAAAAAATAAAGAAGAGAGAGTCTAACTATTAAAGAATTATAAATTAAATATGGGGCACTTATTAATTATTATTTTTCTTGTATGAAAAAAAAAGTAAAATTGTTAATGAGGCAAGCCATTCATAATTAGTCATAGACAGCAACATTTGATTCGGTTACAGGGTGTTTATTTAATTAATTAAACAATCGTGCAATTATCATAATCTTAAAGGACTGCTCTGATATTCTTCATTTTATGTAATTGGTGTGATTAGTAGTGCTAATCTGATTAATACATTTGTTCTCTAAGGTCCCTAATATGGTAAGATAATTTATAAATATTTGACTTAAAATAATCCCTAAAAAATAACAATAAAAATCAGTAATGCTTTTAGACTTAAGTCAACCAATAGAAAAGCACAGAAAATGCTATGTGGTTAATTTTGATAAAAGAAATTCAAGTTAGAGAGCCTAATTACATTGTTCTATTAGTAGTTCAATACATTATCGGGTAAATTACGGTCACCTCCCTGAGGTAATATCAAATCATAAAACCCCCATTATATTTTGTTTTGGTAATTACAATCCTCCCCTGAACTATGGATATTTTTACACATCCTTCCCAATGTTGTCAAATTCAACAAGAATCTTCTAGATTCCGTGAAATATTCTCTACTTTTAATACTCGTTTTGTGAAAAAAAATGCAATTTATGATGCACCACAATTCGATATTCACAAGCCAAAGAACACATCTTATGATTATTTTGTTTCATAATGTGGAGCTCGGATGAAGTAAAACGGGTACAAACTGAAAGATATTCCGCTAAATTTAAAACCGACAGATGGACGTGTAAAAAGATTAATAGTTGAATGGAACGATTGTAATTACCCAAACATGAGTGATTTTCTCGTAATTTAACCTTAACTCAGGGTATTACCGTAATTTTAACAAAAGAAAAAAAAGAGAGAAAAAAGCTTAATTTAACAATATAGAAAATAATAGGTCCGTGGAAGGGTAAAAGCGTAATTTTCACAAATCAGCAGCAGTAGAAAACTGATAGAAGAGCAGAAAAAAGCAGGAAGGTGAAGTGTGTGTTTTCAGTTTCAATAATTATAATTTAAAAAAATATATAATTTGTTATTTGAGTCGCTAATTATCTTGCAAATATATCTCATAAATCAAACCCCCACCCCCATTTTTCTTTCTTCTTCTTCGTTTTTCTTCACACACAGAGCAAACCCCACAAGCTCTGATCTCCCATGCCTCCATTCCTTGGCATACCTACCCCACTCTGTTTTTCAGGTATGCTTCTCTCTCTGACTAAAATATTCCCCTCTTCCTTTTTTTTTTAATTTTTTTTTTCTGCATTTAGTTTGTGATATTCCTTTTTTTCTCTACCTTTTTGTGATCTCTAACAGTTTTACTAAAAATATTGGTCTAATTGAGAATGTGAGTTCTCTTATTTGCTTGATTTTTCACATGGGTTTGAGATTTTGTTGGATTCCTTGATTCGGGTAGATGTAAGGGTTTTAACTTTTTTTTTTAGTTTTGGATCGTCTTAATTTCTGGGATTTATCTCTCTCCCGAAAAGGGATCTTCCATTTTTCTCCTCGATACGTTAATGTCTGCTCTGGGTTTTTATTTTCATTTTTTCGTATGATTCATTTGGTGTTTGTGCTTCAATTTCTTTCTTCATGGATCTGGGATTTTCTTATGCATATTGATTTTCGTGAATGGGATTCTTTACAGAGTTTTTAGATTCTGTTTTTGATATTTTCCTCTGTATTTATGATCGGAGTAAGTTAAGCTGTTCTCAGATCTGAGGTTTAGATAGTATCGATTTCATCCGAGTTGCTCGAAAAGTGGAGTATGCAGCGAATGACGTTTGATGGCTGTTTTCCATTGGACGAAACTTGCTCATTTTAAGCAGTTTTAACTTCAAAAGTTTTAACCACTACTACGAGAGTCCAGACGTCATATTTTGCGGTTTTCGTTTTTTAAATTATTGCAATCGTTTTGAATATTCGATAAATATTTGATGCATCTTCACCGGGCACACGTCCCTTTTGTGGGGTTTTTTCTTTTTTTGCTAGAAGGAGCCAGGCATTTATTATAAGAATTAATGATAATTGATTGCCGCAGCTAATAGTTGGTCGTTTCTGTGTGCTTTCTCTTATCCGCTAACGAATCTTTTTACGACTGATGCTTTTAGAAATTCAATTATCGAGACAAATACGCAATTCATAGTTTTTAACGCTCGATTGTTGTTGTTTCTAGGTATATTATTCATTGGAACTGCGCGCCCTCAGTCGATCTTCTGAGCACCATACATTTGATTTGTCTACCCATTCGTTTCTCGCCTTTTCTTGGAGAATTAAGTGTGCAGTAATGGGCTCTCGATTTCCCTCTCACCAGTTGAGCAACGGCCTTTATGTCTCCGGCAAACCTGAGCAGCCGAAGGAGAAGACTCCAACAATGAGCTCAGTCGCCATGCCTTACACTGGCGGCGATATAAAAAAATCCGGCGAACTCGGTAAAATGTTCGATATCCCAATGGATGGCTCAAGGTCTCGAAAATCAGGCCCCATAACAAACGCCCCCATAAGAACCGGCTCGTTCGGCGGAGCCGCTTCTCACTCGGGTCAGCTCAATTCCGCGAGCCGCGGCTCGGCTTCAGTTGGTGGTGTACCCGGCTCGGTTTCACTCAAGAAAACAAATTCCGGCCCACTTAATAAACACGGCGAACCGTTGAAGAAATCGTCCGGTCCACAAGGAACAGCTGTCTCTCGCCAAAATTCAGGCCCTCTGGCTCCAGTTCTCCCAGCCACTGGCCTAATTACATCTGGACCAATCACGTCGGGCCCACTTAACTCTTCGGGGGCCCCTCGTAAGGCGTCTGGCCCTTTGGAGTCATCGACTGGCTCGATGAAGCTGCACAGTGTTTCTATTGTTAATAACCAGGGCGTGACTCATCTTAGCCAGGACGATGAGTACTCGTTTCGGAAAAGCTTTCCGAAGCCGATTCTTTGGGCAATTATTCTTCTGTTTGTGATGGGGTTTATTGCTGGTGGTTTTATACTTGGAGCTGTTCGAAACCCTATTCTTCTTGTTGTGGTTGTGGTGCTTTTTGCTGTTGTGGCTACTGTTTTTACTTGGAATACGTGTTGGGGGAGAAGAGCTATTACTGGTTTTATATCCACTTATCCCGATGCTGAGTTACGAACTGCAAAAGATGGCCAATTTGTCAAAGTTTCTGGGGTAGGTGGTTTATCTCGAGTATCATATATATTATACCGACTTCATGGTTCACTTTTTCGAAATCATTTCAAATAGCCTTTCTGAATTTGAATCTTTGGTTTCTTGATGTAAAAAAAGTTTTGCTAGGATTAATGCTTTAATTCGTGTAGCATCGTATGGTTATTTATTCTCTTTACTGAATTTTGCGTCTCAAAATGAATCCGTTTTTGAAGGTTGTTACATGTGGAAATGTTCCTCTCGAGTCATCATTCCAAAGGGTTCCTAGATGCGTTTATACATCAACGAGTCTGTACGAATATCGAGGATGGGATTCGAAAGCAGCAAACCCTACACATCGCCGTTTTACATGGGGCCTACGAACATTAGAGGTGACGAGAAAGTGATTATTACTTTTTTTTCCATGCTAAAAAAAGTCGATCATTTAGAGTAAAAGTCAGGTAGTATTCATTTTGTCTGATGATTGCAGAGGCATGTAGCTGATTTCTATATCTCCGACTTTCAATCTGGGCTGAGGGCGTTGGTCAAGACTGGGTACGGTGCAAGAGTGACTCCTTACGTGGACGAATCGGTTGTTATTGATATCAATCCTTCGAACAGGGATATGTCTCCTGATTTCGTTCGATGGTTAGGAGAGAGAAACCTTTCGAGTGATGAACGGATAATGCGGCTCAAAGAAGGGTAAGACTAAGATAAGATGAAATTCTCGTATTTCTTTCTCAAACGAATATTCTTGATACTGTTAACTGATGATATGTTTTTTTTTCTTCGGATTATTAGATACATTAAAGAAGGGACCACGGTTAGTGTAATGGGAGTTGTGCAACGGAACGAAAATGTTTTAATGATCGTACCGCCGCCGGAGCCATTTTCAACAGGGTGTCAGTGGAGTAAGTGTATTCTTCCGGCGAGTCTTGAAGGCATTGTTTTGAGGTGCGAAGATAATTCGAAAATCGACGTTGTACCAGTTTAGTGGATTGAGATAAGTTTTTTTTATTTTATTTTGATGGATGAAAAAAGATTGTTGAGAACTTTTCTCGAAAGGCGAGTTCGTATTATTATGTTGGCCCGGTGTATAGTTTTCGTGTATTTTTTTTTTCTCGTCGTCCCGTTTTGGTTAAGGACAAATTTTTATTTTTTGGGGTTATGGCATTGGTGTGAATTGTTATAGTACAGTGGAGGGGGGAACTTGGGCAATTAACAAGAAGATGAAGATTCAATTTTTATTTTTTTATTTTTCATTTTTAATTTTCTTTTTTCTTCTTCTTGTTAGAATTTGGTTAATTGGTAATATTCTCGGGCTTGTAAGAATTCCTTGTTAAAGATTAGTACATTTGGAGATTGGCTTTTTATTGGTTTGCATTCTGTGCTTTCTTGGCCCTAATTTTGTTCTTTTTGTACATGCTAAACTTATAAGTTGTTAAAAGAAGCTTATAAGCTCATCAATGTTTGGTAAATATTTTTAATTCTTTTTTTTTAATTCAAAAAATAATAGTAAAAAAAACCATCTATACTACATTTTTATTTAAGACAAAGACTTAAAAATTTATCTGCTCTTAAAACAACTTATCAGCTGTTTAAAATAAACTTGGCAAAACGAACCCTTAATTATACTCAAGTCGTATATCGACTCGGCCTACATAATGCATGTCGACAAATTTTATTATAAATAAGTGAATCATAATTAAAATGAAAAAAAAGTCAAATAGTTTTAAATGTATACATTTTCATTTGACTTAATTGAAAGGTCATTTTCAAAAATAAAAAATAAAAAAGTTGAAAGAAGGTACAACAACGTGTTACAACGTGGTACTTTAGCAAACATCTATGGAATAAATTTTGAAGAAATGGCTACATACAAGTGAATGCTCAATAAAATAAATTATTAGATAAATGATAGTAATTTATTTTTAAAAAGAAAATGAAAAAAATAAAAATAATTAAAAGGATTGATTAAAAATAAATAAATAATAATAACTAAAAGGATGAGGTTTTTATGAGCCCGGCCCATAAATCCGAATATATTGATTTGGACTTCTCGGGCCTGTTAATTAGGTCTTCGTGGGCTTCTTGGGCCATTCAGTTTAATAATTTATTTTCAAAATTAATAATTATTGGATTAACTAAAATATAAATAAACTTTAAATTTTTAGTTAATCATGAATTATCGTACTAACAGTAGGATATCTTAATATTAACATTTGTATTCTTATTTACCCTTTTGCCCTTTATTTTTCCAGACTATTTACCCCATTGCCGCCCTTTTGCTGTTCTGTCTGCTTCTTCCGCCCACGCTGCCCCTTTCTTCCTCGCTCTTCTCTTCTATTTTTCACCTCCACCGGCGTCGGATTCTTCTGAAATTGGGATTCAGGCGATCAGACATTCCTACAGTGAGGTCAATTTTTTTATACTGTATATTTTTATTTATTTATTTCGTAGTTCACCTTCCTATTCAATGTAGTAGGGCTTTTTTCAATTGTTTAAAATCTATAATTGTATGTTGGGCATGTTGTTTAAAATTCTCGATGAACTATGCGGCAAATAATAAAATTGAATTTTGAAAATGAAGTGTTGAACAGAGATCTGTTTGTGGGTAGCAAAATCGTTCACGTTCACGAGAGTTTCTAACCTTCCATTTTTTGGGTATACAGATATTCCCTTGGCATGACTGATCAACTCAACATTTCATATGTATTGTGTGTGTGTGTGTGTGT